CGTGCCTCGCTGGGAGCCTCGCTGCGTCCCTGCCCTCGGAGCGCGTCTCTGCTCCCGGCGCGGGGGCTCCGAGCCCGCGACCCCCGCTCCCGCAGCCCGCCGGGGCTCAGCCCCGCCGCAGCTGTCCCGGGCCGCGGGCCCTGCTCGGCGCTCGCCTCCTCCGCCTCCCGCCGCAGCATGAAGCGGCTCTTCGGCTTCGGGAGGAAGAGGAAGGGGCCGCCGGGCGGCGCCTCCCCGCCCTGCAACCCCGGTGCCTACGAGCTCCGCGAGAAGGAGCTGGGCAAGCTGCACCGCGCGGCCGCCAGCGGCGACGTGGCGCAGGTGCGGCAGGCGCTGAGGAAACACGGCCTCGACGAGCGGGACAAGGCGAAGCGGTGAGGAGGGCAGCCCGGGCGACCCGCGGGGCGGGCGCGCGGGTCCCGGAGCGGCCGGAGAGCAGGGCCTGGCGGCTGGGAAGGCCTTGCCGCGCAGGGCCCCCGCGCTGCGCCTCGGCGCCCAGGGCGTGCAGGGCCGCTGGGGGCTCTTGTGGTCCTGGTCGCAAAGGTGACAGCCTGGCTGGGGGTGGCTGTTACCTGCTCTTTTGCATGGAGGCTTTGGCACAGCTGGTCAATACTTGGTTTGAGGATTTAGGTAGTAACCCACAAGAGAGCCTGTCGCTTCTGACAAGTGCTGTGATGAGGGTTTGAAGCGAGTAGAGAAAATGTTTGGTTATTGTATCTCACATAAAGACTTGTGTTGCAGCATAGCTCCAACAGATGCATCGTTAGCGTAAYGCAGTCTGCCTCCCACTGAAGCTTTTGAATGTTGTGTGTTAGTACAAACCATTAATGCTTTCTCTGGAATCAGAGAGTCAAAMTGTTCAAGCAAAAATGCTTTTCTTACTGGAGTCATTTGACAGAATAAGACACATCAGTCCCATAGCTACCCAACTGCCGAAGTTAGCTCTCGAGTCCATAAACAGTCTCATGAAGTAAACACCGTTGTCTTGATTTTGAAAAAAAAATCAAGAAAATATCAAGCTCTGTCGTCATAGCTCCTTCACTTGCAAGTGCAGGATACCGTTTTCCGTGTGGGAGCAGYGTTATGCTGAGGAGCTTGAGGAAAACACGTTGCCTTCATGCTCTTGTGTCATTCGCAGCGGCGCCTGCCGCTGCCCCGTGCGTYGCTCCCGGCCCGGCTGTGCCGCAGAGGTGAGCGGCCCGTTGTGTGAACAGGACGTCCCTGCCTAAAGGCCCACGTGTGGCCGGGGTCCCTCTGGCACCCAGGGGTCGGTGGTGCAGGGCCAGCGCTGCCRTAGCCGCCCAGGGCCCCTGTGCTGGAAAGGGCCTTCGGCTTGATGAGCCTAATCGGGATCATCTTGTCTAGCGTAAGCTGAGCAAAGCCCCTTCCAGGCAGGGCACGCGTAGGAGCTCCTCGTAGTGCATTTAGTGTACGTGCCACTATGTGGCAGTGGGGAAAGGCATGGGAAGTCAAGTATTCTCTGCTGGTGATATGACAGGGCGTTTGTGTCAGCTCAGTGGGTCTTCTGTGACCAAATGCTTCCTGGAGGCGAGCACCAAACCTGCTTATGGGTGAAGTGCCTGCAAGAAGAAAAGCAAGAGGTCAGAGAGGGCACACGAGAGGAAGCTTTAGCACCCAATATTCTTTCCTGATTCAGGAGTTGGGCTGTATTAAAGACTAGGCTTTTGCCAGTTAGTTAACCTCTTGCCCTGAAACACCTCAGTTTCTAGCAGGTGCAGGGAAGGGCACAGAAACGCACAGGTCTGTGCAGTGGGTTCCTAACTGAGTGTTGCCAGCCASTATTTATTTGGCAAGTGATGCTATGTAAGGAGGATTGAGCGTATGGTTTTGGCCCGTTTTACCTGGCTGTGCCRTTCGGCCTGCCTTGTGCCAGGTGGCATTCATGGAAAAGAGCTACTGATTTTTCTTCCAGCTGTCTGTTCTTTCACAATGACTGACTCAGTCATCAGGTCTGAAGTTTATACTTGGATGGTTTTAGTATTTTCAGTTGATCTTTGGTAGAAAGCTTTGCTTCTCCTGGAAAAAAAAATCTGATTTGTGTATCATGCTATGGTCCCCTATAACTGGGTAAATAAAGTGACACAGACCGTATAAGTGGAATGGAGCAGTGTGATGCTTTTAAAAAGCATAAAAATACTGGTGCTTAAAAGTTGTAAAACAGAGGTTCTGGGCGTGGTTCAGTGGACAGTCCYGTCTGCTGCAGCAACTTGGGATTGCTATGAGAGTTTTGGACCCATTTATTCCTGTCAGCTAGTTGTTGGTGCGATGTGTATTCTGGGTGATCACCTAAGGCAGTCGTATTTCGGAACAGCCTCCTGTTCTCTAGGGCCAGGAAACATTCACAGCACTGGAAATTGATGTGAAGAATAGGAAACATGGGTAGTAAAAACAGAAGTACATGCATTCTTCATATAAAAAAAATCATTTTGTTGCTCAGGACTTCCAGGAGCGATATGCCATACCACGTCTGGCTTTCCTTGCACAAGGAACCAAAGCTTCTAATGCTCCCTGCCAAAGTCTTCTTTGTAGTGAATCTTTTGTGAAGCTCTAGCAGGCCCTTGCTCCAAACGGAGAGGTCCCCTTTTCTGTTGGAAGACTGGGAAGCTTGGTTGAAGAGACTGTAAAAGAATGAAAATCAAATGAGGTTGATGTTCTTGGGAGCTTTCTGTTCTGTAAAGCTGATGGTGGGTTCTCAGGAGGCTGTGTTGGCAGCAGCAGTTTTCGGGAGGCCGGGTGTTCCCTCTTCGGGAGGCCGGGTGTTCCCTCACGGTTGCGCTGCCCGTGCAGTGGCACCAGCTGCGCTGGTGGCCTCGCCAGTGTGAGCTGGTGGCAGTGAGCTGCCAGCGCGCCGAGCTGCTCGGCTTGCACAGGGGCACAGGCAGGTGTCCCCTCAGAGGTGAGGAGTGCTCGGTGTTCACAAGGGGCTTTCTAGGGAGGTGACTGTAGTCACTCTTGAGTGACCCCGTCCCGGCTGCTGCTGTTGGTTCGCGTCTCTAGCAAGATATCACAGGTTTGTGTGTTTTCCTTGTCTCTATCCTTGTTCCCCTGCAGAAGGAGAGCCAGTAGGAGGCTCTTCAGCTGCCAGAAAATAACTCCATTGCAAATACCTGAATTTTTGCATTACATATCACTATTTTTGTGCTTCTGCCCCTTTCCATTCCCACCTGATCAGTGAGTCCTTGCAGCCGTGCCTCTAGACCAGCAGAGAAGAAAATGCAAGTTTGGCTGAGTTTTCCTTAACTGAAAGAAGTTGCAGCCATGCAGCTGCAAAATGGTGCCCTTGGCCCCTGGAAAACTCCAAGTTTGTTATTGTGTGGCTCTCAAGGGAGCCTTGCCTGTTGTCTGGTCGGTCTTCTGCCCTGCTGGACAGGGGTACTGCAGAGAGTAGGCATCGTGCCTGGCCGTGAATCGTGTGCAGGGTGACCCAGCCTGCTGAGTGACTGTTTCCTTCAGTACAAGCAGGCTGGATAATTGTCGCCAGCGCTAAGATGTTCGGCAGTCTGAAGGACCGCCCTCCTTCCAGGCAAGGATTTGACTTGAAGAAAAAAATTGGCGCCCCTTCCTTCTACTGTGGTGAAAAGGCAATTCTGCTACCATGGAGAGAGCTTTCTCCCTGGGGACTTTGCCTGAGAAGGGCAGTTACAACTGTGAGCAAGACAGGGCTCCTTTGTTGCTCAGCAGTGTTGAGGGGGAAGGTTTCTGCTGTCAGGTTTACAAGGGTTTTTTTACAAGCCAGTCTCAGGCTTCAGGTATGAAACTGCTATAATCGGTAATRAGAAATCGTCTTCAGGTTTGTTTTTTCAAAAGAGAAGTTAGAGCCCTTCTATATAAACTAGACAGAGATGATCTCTTCAATTATGTGTCATGTTAATGTAATATATTTAATTTTTAGGACACCTCTGCATCTTGCTTGTGCAAATGGACATTCAGAGGTTGTTTCATATTTAGTAGAAAACAAGTGCAAGCTAAATCTTTGTGACAGTGATGGGAGAACCCCCTTGATGAAGGTACGAGATATGTTGCCCTGCTGTACTCAATGCTTACGAATCACTGACTGAATGATACCTTGTGCATGATTCTTTATATATGTGAAGTGATTGTGTTGTGGTCAGCTGTTGAACAGACATGTATTTCCTAGTCTTTGAACATGCTGTTCTTCCAACACTGTCAAGATGTGGGAATTCTGTTGGAGAGGAAATTTAATTGTTGGAAAAACATTTCCCCTTTTCCTGTGCTGCTTGCAGGCAGTGCAGGGCCAGCAAGAAGAGTGTGTTGCTGTTCTGCTGGCACATGGAGCCGACCCTGATCTTGCCGATGCTGCCGGCAACACTGCCCTTCACCTGGCTGCCCTGGCTCCCAACACCTCCCTAGCAGGGCAGTTGCTGGAGCACCATGCCCTTATTGATGTAAGAAATGAGGTATGTTTTGAGAATTATTCAGGATATTTTATCAAAAGTATGTGTTTTGTGGTTTTTTTTTTTTTTTACATCTGAGTTATTTGTTTGTTCTTTCAGGAGGGATGCACACCCCTTTCTCTTGCCGTGTCTGAGCATCAAGAAGAGATGGTGGAGTTTCTGCTTAAAAAAGGAGCTGATGTGCATGTTGGAGACCGATCTGCCAGGTGAAGGGCATGTCAAAACAAAGGGCTTGTCCCTGGGTATTCTTCCAGTGCGACTGGCAGATGCAGAGGGGTGGCACAAGCCTCTGAAAGGGCTAAGTAGGCACCCAGAGGCATTTGTTTCTTGTGGCTTTTGAAGGGTGAGGTGCTGTAGTGCTTCCCTGGATGGCTTCYGCCCTCAGCAGTGCCAGGAAGGCTTGTGTGTGGTGGCCACAACGCAAGGAAGCTGCCCTGGTTCTGCAGCACTAGTCCTCTAGGCAGGAGCAGGTATTTAGAAGGCAGATGTTGTTTTGATGTAAGTAACTTCAATTGTTTCGACTCACTGTTTTCTTTTAATGTTCCTTTTTTTAGTACTCAGTGAAGTTTACTTTTCCTTCGTTCATTTTAACATAAAGGGGGAAATAATTGTTTTGAGAGCAAGTAGGGATGAAAATATTGCCAGAAATATCTATATCAAATGATAAATTGCTTGTCATTTTTGGGATGCTTTAGGACCCCCCTTATGACAGCTGCTTCTGGTGGGAAGTTGAATTTAATAAAACTTCTTCTTCGCTACGGTGCTGATGTTTCCCATAAGGACATTAATGGATGGACAGCTGAGGATTATGCTGTYATTCATGGATATTCTAGGTAATTTTTTAAACTTAATTCTTAGAGTTTCTAAGTTTTCTGTTGTCAGAGTTGCTCATTTCTCCGCTATGAATGGCTCTGAGTGGATGTATGATGGAGGATAAATTGCTGTTCGCATTGCAGTAAGTGGTGTGTAAAGGACATTGTTTCTAGTGACAGTATTTCCTTTCTTCCTGTATATAGTGTTGTTGAACACCTGGCAGATGGTGCGGACCTCRCAAGTGCAGGAGAAGCTTCTGCAGGAGGCACGAAAGGCTTGTCCGTGCTTAGCACGCCTCGCAAGGCCGGAGCTGCTGACTTTGTGCTGGGAGCACCTGCTCTGGACAGAGGAGGTAGGAGGCTTGACCGTGGAGGAGCTGAGGAGGAAAATCTCTCCAGCCTTTTCTTCTGGTGGCTTGTGTTGTTGAGGCTCGTCGTGTCCACCACTGACTTTAGTGGAGGCTTCACATGGAGTAGCAAGTTTGTAAGTGCTCTTCAGTGGTGCCAATGGGATGTGTTTCTTCCACGGCTGCGAGGGCGCTTCTAATCAATGTGTGAGCCATCCACTTGGAGGGTTGCTGCTTTCTGCCCTTTGGATTCCCAGTGTATGTAGGTTTTTCTTACCTGACCCCGTACTAGTGGGACAGGGAAGGAACCAGTGTCTATAGTATTTTTATTTTCAGGGGTGTGCTTTTACTTGCTGTTGTTCAGATTATGAAAATCCAGTTACAAAAGCTGTGTCTATGTTCTTGGCAGTTAGATTTGATCATTCTGATATAGGAAGTCAGCTGGCATATTTCCTTGGGGAGGTTTCCTATTTTTGAGACTTTTAAGTGCTCTAGGTACAAGTTCTGAAAGAATTGTCTTCGAAACATGACTTGGTAGCAGCATTAAAGTTTTGTATACAGTAGCCCTTTGGAGGTCGTCGGTTTAACAGCAAAAGTAATGCTTTTCTTCCTTTTAATTAATTTTAAAAAGGAAGTTTTAAAAATCCATATATCATTTGATTTGGAAGAAGAAATAAATGGCCTCGTAATTAAAGAATGAACTCCTTGAATGAGTTTCGAAGAAGAAGGAAGAAATAAAAGCAACTCTGTGCTCTCAAGTAGTCCTGAAAGTGCAATAAACTTTATTGTTACAGAATACACATTTTTTCTTTACACTTCATGTCCTACAGTAGATTTTATTCTATTTGTATTAAGGATGTAATATTGTCATTATGTGRCATCTGTACATAGATTTTTAATGCAATTTATTACTCTTTTTTAAAAAAWGTTTCAAGAACTATGAGCAAAAGAAAAGATATTTTCCCCCTCCTTGACTTTTTCCAAGTGCAGGAATTTAATTTAAAGATGAACTTTAACTTTGAAACAGCAGCATTGAGCCAGTCCGAGATCTTTGAAGTTTCCCAATAGAAGATTTTGTAGAGGGCTTAGTACAGAGAGTTCAATTATCAAAATATTGCTTCTGGCTAAAAAAATCTTCCCTGCTACTGCATTCTGTGCAGGTTGATGTCGTCACTGTGGCAGTGCATTTTAGTGTTGTTTGGCAGGCATGCCTAGATGAATGTACAGGTGTGTTGAAATACAGATGGGAGCTCCAATGTAACCAGACTCAGGAAAAGATGTTTCTCTTTTCCCTTTTAACAAAACTGAGGAATGGAGGAGAAGGGATGAGAGAACATCTGCAGCCCTTTCTTAACTATTTCATAAATGTGTGTTGTTGATAGCAGGAGTCCTTTTGCTGAATTAATTCCATGTACTTGTGGTAAAGTCAGTGTAAGCAGAACTGCCTTCTGTTCCAGCTGAGACAGAAGTTAAGGCCCTGTCAGAGAGGAATTTAGTGCAGAGCAGCAGCAAAATCCTAACGACACCCTGCCATAAGATGTAAAATGTATTAACTGAGTGGGCTGATGCAGCAGGTAGATAGTGATTTCAGTTGCAGAGTATTTCTATTCTAGTCTGTTAAGACGTCTGCCCTGTGACACTCATGCACACCGGTTCCTTTCTGATCTGGTCGGAACCTGCAGCACAGCCTTATGTGAACGGGGCATCCTGTCTGGCTGCTGTCTGTGTCCTGGTCCCTGTTCTTTGTTTGGATAGCTCAACATGGTAAAATACAAGCAGGACTTGCCTATGGCAAACCAAGATAGATAGGGCCTATATTTGCATTATATACTGACTGTGGCAACATTTTAAACCATTYTGGTTTAAAGAAGCAGCTTTGGTGAGGATGAGAATCATACTAAAAATATGTCATTTAAAATGTGTGAATATAAAGAGCATAGTAAGTGAAAATTATGTGGCAACGTGAGTACTGAGAGCTCTGCAGTCTGTATTCTGCAAGACTTCTGGAYGGGATTATTTTAAGGATTTTCTTTTTGCCGCTAAAGCACTTCTAGGATGCTTAGAGGGAGGCATATTGGATGTGCTGTAAAGAGCTCTAAATATGAAGAAATTGCATTTATTTTGATGGATGAGGTCTAGTCAAACAGAGAAGCAGGAAATAGAGTTTAGAGGTAGTAAATTATTAGAGATTAGAGGTAGTATATATCTGATAATTTCTTCAGTATTTCAAAATATGGACTATAGGTAACTTTGAACAAATAAATTAAAAATTAAGCTGTTTGACATTTTCCCTTAAAAGTAGCATTCTGTAGATCATGATTGTTCTTGTATCTAGCACCTTTCTAACTGTAGACTAATAGTCATGATACATTCTCCCACTCCTATAGCTTTGTCCATGTGTTTTTATGTTTTTCCAAATCTGTGATTTCAAATTTATTCTGATGCTGTTGTTTCGTCTGTCCTTTCCATGCCTTTTCCTAAATGGATATAGGAATGCAACAGTCTCCCAACCAGACATCAAGAACAAGAGAAACAGGGAAAGGTATTCTGTACAATAGCCTTTCAGAGATGAAACATATAGTACAATCTACAAACCTTTATGTTGCTTATTACTTTGGAGTCCCTATTTTGATAGTTTTGGATTTTTAAATTACATATTTGTGTGTGTGTATGTGTTGGTGGTGGGGTATTCATTTGCATGTTTTGCATGAGTCCTGTGTTASTGATTCAGATGTTACTTTGTGTTGTGTCACTAGTAAAAGTGCCTTTTTGAAAATCTGCTGATGTGCCTTTGCTTCAGAATAGAAATGGGCCTGAAGGAAAGTGGAAACAAGCCCTCTCCACGGTTGACTGTCTTAGATTACATCTTTTAGTGTGGGACATCAAGGTTATGGTTTTATTCTGGCAAGGGCCTGTGTCATGAACTTTTCTTCCTGTCTTCTAAAAATGGAAATGTGACCTGGTTTTGCTCATAGCTTATAATTTTATACATCTGCAAGTGGAAGTTCAGGTAACTTGGAATTAATTGAAGCAGCTGACTGGTTGAAGATATAATTGAAACCCCCCGTCAGCAGATTTTAAGTGTTCTAACATAACTGCCCATTTCAAAGAGACAGGTTTCTACTCTGGGGGGTTAGCAAGTAAATTAAACTGCTGACACTGAATATTTAGTTTTACGCACAGCATTTCTGTATAGCAACAGAATAATGCAATGTATCTATAGTTAGGAAACATTACAAATAAGAGAGTGTGTCTGCATTTTAATTTTTTAGCGTGTTCTCTCATGGGACGTTCCAACCTTTAAGTTTTGTATGAGATTCTGTAGAACATGTACACTATATTTTGTTGTCTAAAAGCACTGAAGTTCAGATCTGGAGGCATGATCATGAAGGCTCTCACATAAGCCCTGCCTTCWTGGAAGACATAACTTCCATGCTCATCTAGGCTTTGCTGGTTGTAGAGGGGATATATATCTACAAGTGATGATGTATCTTTGGATTTCTTTTTCCTTAGATGTTTTATCTATTTTTTTTCTTTGAAAGTCTTCAGTGTTCTGTTTGTAACAACTTCATTTGGACGTGCTAGTTAGCACTTACATATCAAGAATTTCAGGAACGTGCAATAGCTTCTGTGTGTAGGTTATATTTGTTTCCTGTTTGCATGTTTTGTGTTTCACCCTTCACTCTTAGGAATCCAAAAATCCTTTTATTTCATCTCTATTCATCTATTCATCTATTCCATCTCATTCTCTAATGACCCTCTGTGCACGCTACCTTCATCCCACTACTGAAAGCTTGCAGCCTGGGATGGTTCTCTCTCATCTGCTCAATGCCCCTCTTTGGCACTGTGCAGAGAACTGCTGGTGATTCCTCTCCATAGGAATAGCCTTCAGTTTTGAGTTATAAATTTTTTTCTGGATGTTTCCGGAATAATCTATTACTGGGTAGAAAAATGAATACAATATAGTATGTGTTATTTAAGACACATAGGGTAGAAAACAATAAAATCTTGTCAAGTGATGCGTACTCAGGTGTAGTATTAATACTTCAATGGTTCATTTACTTATTGTAGTGTTAAACCATCACCATTTGAAAACTGTCTACTAACATAACGTGCTGTGCTATTTTTTTATTATAGAATTGTTTCCTAAATTTGTAGATTTAAGAGCCCAAAGGAAATGTAGTTCTTAGCTTTTGYTTTGTTTTTTAATTCAATATGATTTGGGAAATGTTTTCATTCATGATATCTTGGATTGGTTAACTATAGCAAGTTGCACTCTATTATGACATGTAGAATTATCCATGTTAAATGTTGGAGTGTATTGTTGAAATTAAAAGATTTGGCATGCTAAAAATTAATTATGTTAATTAATATTTGAACAGGGATAGATGACTTTTCCCATGGAGATTCAATAAGGTGAGCTTGGAACAATACCCAACACTTAGTTGAACGTTGGTTTGAGAGAGACAGTACTTACTTTGCTTTCTTTTTAAGAAGTTCTGAGAAAGGAGGTAGTGATGACACTTGGCATACTTCTGAAGAAGAAGAACTTGATTTTACTCCCAAGGTACAGTGCCTTTCTAGGAAATTTTTCACATAAAATGACTTATTTAAAGGCAGATTTTCTATGAGGTTGAGCAAAGTTGTATTTCCAGGCAGGGTTGTTTCCTCCTGCAAAGTGGTCTCTTGCCTGCCACTCTTTTTGCTGCCATGAACTTTTTCCTCAAAAACTTGCAGCTCTAGCAGAGCACGCAGCAGTYCTGCGGGTGGGTGCAGAAGAGCACTCGGTGGCACAGAGAGCATTGACATTTTCTTTTCCACTTCTTTTGCACCAGATTTCTATATCATAAAAGCTGATCAACGCCTAGATTACCCATTCTCTTGTCCTGCAAACCTTGCCCTGTTTCAGGTAGCTTTGGGGGTAGAATTCTGCCTGATATGGAAAAGGGCATTTATTGATCAAAAGCTGCTGCAGTGCTTCATCCCCTGGCTCTCCTGTGCTCCTTGTCAGGTTTCTCAAAAGYGCTTGGGGGGAGGCAGTTGCTCAAGCAGGTCTCTCTCCTATAAGTTGGTGCTTGGAAGGGACCTTACCCTGCATGTGTTGTGCTGTGCTTGCTAGCACCCATGCACTCACACACATTCTGCTGATGGCCTGAAAGGGAGGTCTGTTGCATTGGGATTCTGCTGTGACAAAGAATTTCAGTGTGTGTGGTGGTGGATCCCACATCAYAATGCTGTAATTTAACTTTATTTATTTATTTATTTTTAGTGGTTAAAATGGAAATGATCCACGTTTCTAGCATCATGCAGAAACACCTAGGGAAGTCTGGGCAGTTAATCAGTTTAACAATGTGACAGTTACTTGGGTTTCTTGTAAATATTTAAAAACAAGCATCTTACAAATACAATTCTGAACGCAGTTGAATTTTAATTAACTATTACAGGTAAACACAATTGAATTTTAATTAATAATTGCAAATACTAATTGAAAAATGGATTTTATAGAATTGTGGTGGATGACGACATAATTTTAGAAATGTTTTGGAAACAATAGCACAGCCTTCTCATATTTACTGTTCAGGATTTGGTGCAAACAGATGATTTGTTRTTTTTTGATTTTAAATAAATAGATAATCCTGCTTAAAGCTGTTTTTATTTACAGAAGCCACAGAAGCCAAACTTGGCACTGCTAATGAATGCTTCCCARCAGCTGAGGAGAAACAGTGAGTTACTTGGAAAAACTATATGATATACTGCACAAATGTAGACATGCTAAGTGTTGTGTTTTTGTTTTGTTTTGTGTTTTGGCTATAGTAAAAGAGAAAAGTAGCATTATGAGAAAAGAACATGTAGTCATTTCAGAGAAAAATAAGTCAGATTGTGAAGATGAAGATATTGAATCCCCTTCTAAGCCTTTGTCCCTGGTCAAGTCCTTCCCCCATCCTGCCCATCCCTCACCTGGCTCCTTTTCCAGACATTCCCAGATGACTCATCTCCTGTGCTTTAAGCAGGTAACGTGCCCATTATTATTTGTATAATTTCCTGTGTTTGTTTACATATATTTTTCCTTTCCTCATGCTTTAAGATGGTGATGGTTCTAGAATTGCAAGTCCTAAATCACCAAAGGAAAACCTCAAACAAGTAACACCATCAGACACAAACATTAGTGAAGAAGTGTGTGAAGAACTGAATCAAGATGTTTCAGATGGAAGCAACCTGGAGGAAGAAGAATCAGAGCAAGAGGAGGAGGAAGAGGAAGAAGAGGAAGATGATGAAAATGATGATGGTGATGATGTTGAAGATGATGAAGAGGATGAGGAGGAAGATCTTACTCAAGATGAAAAAGAGGAGGAAGATCTGGAAGATGAAGAAGAAACTCAATCTAATGACATAGTTGAAGAGAAGCAGGGGGAAAAAACAGAAGCTAAGAGGGAAATAGATCAGGAATTGGGGCATTTCAGCAGTTCTAAATATGAAGGGGAAGCTCAGCTTGGAAAGGGAAATGTCTGTGAGGATCATCATAAAATATGTAAAGAACTTTGTGAGAAAATGGAGGGATTGGACAGTCCTGTGTCTTTTATAGATGAATGTTTTGAAAATTTACAAGAAAATGTAATGTCTGTCTCTCCTCCATTAATGAATAATGAAACATCTTGCAAGTCAGTACCAAAAGAAGATGTTTTCCAAAATTTAAATAATTTGCAAAGTGAAGAAGAAAGCTGGAAAATTAAGTGTATGATTCAGGAAGATTTTGACAAAAATACTGATTCCTCTTTTGCAGACTCTGAAATATCAGACCACAAAAAAGAGAAAGCTTTGCCTCTTGCAGACATCTCTGGTCTCAAAGAGAAAAAATTAAGCTTCGGTGATGCCTTTGAAAGTAGTAATAATTCTAGTTCAGAAGCAGAAAACCCAAGACTTGAAAGAAAAAGGGAGCATTCTGTGGCTCTCAAAGGCATGGRTGCTGAAGAGGAGCAATGTGAAGGAGCAGATAATGAAGTTGGTGAAGCACTGGAACGAGCAAGTGAAAGCTTTAGCCTAAATAGCTGTGAAGGAAAACTAAGATCAGCATTTCCCTCGAGCACCAAAGTAAGTATGCAAGGATAATTCAATCACAAGTGTATTTGTAAAGGTCTAATATAGGAAAGAAACAGGTAGTAAACTTAATTTTGTTAATATTTTTTCTTTACATATATTCTTTTTCTGGGTCGTCTTTTTCTGGTATTAGAAAATGTCTCACTAAGAACATACTCTTAGACAAAGCAATTTATTTGGTTAAAGAATATTATCAGATAGTATTTTTATTTTATTATTATATGTGGTTAGAGTGGTATTGGAAGGGGAAGACAAAAGATTTTTATTTCTGGAATCAGAATACATCCTCAGACAGGGGGATGTACAAAYATTGGTAAAGAGTTACTGCAGTCCAGTAAAAGTTGTGCTATGAGGGCTGAATGTAAGGAAGCAAAATTGGTTTTGGCAGTTTTTTGTAAGTGAGGGAACTGGTGATTTTAGTTAGAGCCAAGAAGAGAGACAAAGGGAATTTGCTCCTGTGTGCTGTACTCCAGGAGAAGCTGCGGCCCACAAAATGTTGAGGATGGAGCTGGCCAGGCGCTACCAGGCTCAGCTCAGGGGGCTGCCCTCCTCGAGGCAGCCTTTATTCCTTGGGAGACATTCACTTCCCATTTCACTTGTGATGTTACACAAAGAAAAGTCTGTTTTGTGAAGTATTGATTGCAYGTCTGTTTTGGGTGAATTTAGGAAGAATCATCTGAATGGGATGAAAAGGAAGAGGATGATGAAGAGGACCTGCAAGGTGCCARTGTTGAGGGTGTGAAGAATTTTGTTATTAATGACAGTCCTCAAGTCCTGAATCCTTCAGAAGACCATGCTGGTGTGAGAAGTAAGCTAATAAATATTGATTGAATTCATTTCTCTGTGATATTTGCCCATAGTAAATGAATCAAAATATGACATACTTCTGATACTACTTAGTTTTCCACTGCCTTGCATCTGAACAAGGAGAAAGAAGGCTATGGTTTCTTTCTTTTCATTCTTGGAAATCTAAAGCTATGATGTTAGATTCCAAATTAGGATATATGAAACAAGTACCATCCTTGTTTTTGTTGCCATATTCTCCATGAACAAGACTGTTGGATGAAGGAGAGAGGGGACTGTAGTATCTGGAGTGTGATCACAGTAACTGCCTTCTTGACCATATTGTCAGATTCAGAAGCTGCGACTACTCTTGGCTGAGGGCCCACAGAGACTTTTGAGTAAAGCTGAGAGAGGGAGTGATCTCAGTGCAGGCCCTCAGCTTGTTCAGGTTTAAGACACAGAATGGCTTGAACACCCGTGAGTGTTTGAGCCTTGCCAGACTTGAGTAGTTTGGTACTCRCCCTGAATCTAGTACAGGAACAGAAACCCCCATAAGCCTTGCCTGTCTCCTGGAAGAMTCGTGATCCAGTGCTACCAGAGCGTGTGTGGCTGATGAAATGCCACACAGAATGGGTAGCCTAAGCTGCTGGACTTCAGGTGAGGTGTATGTAGCTGCTTTTATGCCTTTAAATGTTTTACCTTCAGCATGCATTTGGTGAAGTGTAAGCAGTCAGAGCAAAGACTGAAACTAATAATTCCCCTTTTTGGGTGTGGGTACTTCTCTTTCCTGCTTTTCTGTGTGCCTGTCTCTGAGTGATTCTTGAATCTTTTACAGAATGAGTTAGCTTAAAACAGCTATCCTACAAGATACCCTACTCTGGTTGAGTAGCCTGGTGAGACTGAGACCATGTTGTGTGGGTGGGAGTGAAGATATCCTTTAAGCACACTGCTTTGTTTTTTCCTACGTAGAAATCTCTGTAGTAGAACCATAATCTTGTCTGCAAGGCTTTGCTGATGGAGGAGAACAGCAGAGTGAAAGAAGGACTCATGGTGCTGTTTCTTATTTCCCTTGTAGATGTCGCATCGGCAGCAGGAGCAGAGGAGGAGGAAGATAGTGATTCTCCCTGGGATTCTGAGGTGCTTCCAGTGGGGRTCCCTGTGGGGGAAATCTCTTGGGAGCTGGTTTTGGGCCCTAGCATTAAGGAGGCTCTGCTCCTTTGCCTCCTACTGCCATAAGTTTGTTCCTGTGAACTAGGGTTGTCAGGATGACATATTGGGATAGTTTAGATGATTAATATCTGAGTTAAAATCTTTTGAAAATGTCCATGCTATGGCCAATATACTGTGCATTGAAATGTTCTTGCCAGATTTTTTTTTAATGGAAAATGAGTTTGTATCCATTTTCACATTGCTGCTTTTTAAATTGAACAGCCTGAATTTGAAAGTCCAAGAAATCTATCAGCCAGTGTGCTGCTTCTGCCTGCGGAAAGCCGTGGAACATCTTTGCAGAGCATTTCAAGGGAGCAAGACAATGGTAATTTCCTGCCTCAGAAGCAGTTTACACCACTGTAACCTTTTAGAGAATCAGCTTAACAGTTATCAGYGTATTATTAGAAATGCTGCTACCCTGCAGTTGTGCTCAATAGCAGTGGACAACTATTGGGAAATGTTAATTAACTTCAGGCAGGACAGTGTTTGCTGAGCTAAGGAGATTGCCCTGCACGCATTATATGTGTTGCTTAGAGGGGTAACGTGCATGGTTTAGAATTGACCCATTGTGAACATTGATAATAAGGCATTTTGGTCCACGGTGGTAGGAGAGGAAAAGCTTTGGTTTGGCCATGCTTTCTTTTTCTCTCCCTTCTCCTAGCTGGATTTTGGATAGGTTTCTGCTGTACTTGGCTGTTAAGGTAGGATTTCTGCCTACTGCTTTGTCTGCATCTCTTTAACAGGAAGGCAAAGGAGCTTTGTAGCTAGGGTGGTACTCTCTTCTGAGCAATTTCTCCTTTAAAGAGTTTATCACTCTTGCTTGGAATGTGGATATTACTGTGTAGCTAAAGAAGCCCACTCAGTCTTGTGTCATTAAACTAGAAGCAAAATTTTCCAGGTACCTGAGCCCTTAAAAATCAGCTTGCTGAATTGTCATGGAAGTCTGTTGGTTTGCATGCTTCCGGATAAGTGTAAAAATAGACTGAAAAGGTAGAAAAAGATGATGATGGTCACTTTCCTCAGGTATTTCCGTACTATCGGGTCACCAAGTTGCTGGGATCAAAAAAGTTTTGTTTTGGGAATTCCGTTTGTGTGGAGCTCTTAGCAACATTTTTCATACTTCTCTCATAAGAGAAACTACGAGATGTCTGAAGCGGAGAATTCAAGAAGTAGAGGCAGGCCAGGAGGTTTTGTAGGTATGGGAATGATTTAATGTAGGACAAAAATTAAAAAACAAAACAAAAAAGCTACTACTGATTGGAATTAAGCTGTAAATGGATATTACAGGCAAATGGTGTTTGCTTCTGTAGCTTTCTTGAAAGCTAAACCGGAATTAGCCGTTCTGAAGCAGACTGGTGCTCTGTCTTTGAATGGTGAGACCAGAGATACCTATACGCATACCTTGCTCGTCCATATATGTTGTTTTCTGCTATCCCATCAATGGAAAGGAAAATACRATGAGTGTTCAAGACTTGCACGATAATCCCAGTCAGAGCGCGGTTTGCGATCGTTCGGTACCGCAGACCCGCTGTGGCTTCTGAAGTGCCTTTCAATGAATCTTAGTATCTTTCCAGGAAATAGTACTTGCAATTAATACTTGGCTGTAGAAACTATYGATGTTGCATGGTATAGAAGATAAATTGCATAAAATATAATAATATTTCCTTAAACAATTTTCATCTCCAGGTTTTTCAGAGAAGCCCGGTGAATCCCAGGTAAATATTTGTTTGTGTCAGGCTATTTGTTGTGCTTGTTAAATAGTATGTAGTTACTTTTTAAAAATCTGTATTTAATGGATTGTGTCTTTCGCAGCAGCAGATCTCTGAACCAATTCTAGAAACAAATGAAACCTTTCTTAGAAGTGGAAGGCAAAAGGCAGGTAATGTTCACCTCGCATGTTGCTAGAATAAGCTTCATAATTTTCCCAGATAGCAACACTGTATAAGCATCTGGTTGGTTTAGTTTGTAGGTCTATTGGTGGAATTTGGTTTAGGTTATGTAGAAGATATTGAAGATATYTGTAACATTCTTTTTGTTATACTTTGGTTAGTGCTTTGTTATATTTTGTAGAATAATATGTTGAAAGAATATGCACATATACCTAATTTTCTTGTCTTATGTTATTTTATTAACAGATAAATTGTACGTGCTAATTCTTTCCTAACATTGATGCTTAAAAGGGTTAAGCTTAACGGAGGTGAAGCTTYTCTCCAGGAAATGTGTGTGTATTCACAGTGTGTAAGCCACAGGAACTCTTCTCTTGCCCTGTATTTTGCAGTGATGGTGTGTTCTGTCAGAAGCAAGTTCCATCAGGGCCATGAAAGTTGCTTAAYGAGAACACAAAAATTGTTTTTTCTGTATCACCAGAGTAGTATGAAATGGAGCTGAAGTAATGGACCAGTACTTGATGGTACTGCAAACACAGAAAGGAAAGATGTCCATGTGTCCTTGTCCTTGTCCTGGCTCATTTCATATCATCTGTTTACTTTACAACTTATGAGAAAAAAAAAAAAACACACATAAAATGTGTTTTTTTCCTCATGTGGAAATTTCTGCCAGAGTTCTTACTTGGATGTAAGCAATTTATATTGCCTCAGCAAAGCATCATGATTTTCTTGGTAAAAATATTTCTAGTACTAAAATAGCTGAGTGCTACTCTTGATGAGTTTATCTTGCGAATTTAAATATGCAGTGATAAAGATGAAACTTTCTGTTGGGCTCCCCTTTTAACTTGACTCATAGTAACACTTTTTTTAGAGAACAGAACATGTTTTGGATCAAGATTAAGGGTTTCTGTCACATGATCTCTGTAAGGAAGAGTAGAGGCTTTGGTCTGTAATGTGCAAAAAATCACTGTGTAAGGCAATTTAGGAGGAGGAAGAGAAAGGAAAGGTGAAGGTGATTTGGACAAAACAGTAAAGGTCTCTATTTTTTTTATTTATTTTATTTTATTTTTTTTTTTTTGGTACTTCCTGCAGAGCAGATAGTGTAAAAGGTTGGGGTTTCACTGCTTTTGGATGCAGTGGGATTTCCATGGGTATTTGTGTGCATTTGGCACGTGCTAACATCAATGCAGTATCCAACAGTAAAAATAAATACAAGCAATAAATAGCTGGAATACATGCTAGTGGGAAACAGTGATGGTTTTTAATTTACTGTAAGATCTTTTTGATGTGTGTTTGCAAATTGCAGTCTCACAAGCTTCAGACTGGAATTCTGTCAGGGTTGTAACTAAAAATTTATGCTGCTGTAGAAGTAGAAAAAAGTTTTGTCAATGAGAATCAGATCTCTCTCCTAATGTTGATAGCAGACAGTGACACAGAAATTCCAGACTCCGGAATAAGTATTCCTAGGGGAGATTTTTTGCCTGAAAGAGAAATTTTTCAGTTATGCTATAGCATTTTTAGACTTTAGGTGCTGGGACTCCATCCTCACTATCCATGTAATAAGTGGGTACCTGTGGAATCATAGAATGCTTAAGGTTGGAAGGGACCTCTAGAGGTCACCTGGGCCAACCYCCTGCACATGCACGGTCGCTTGAGCAAGTGTTGGGAAAGGCTTTTGTTTTTGTCTTTCTCTTCTCATTACTTAGTGTCTCCAAGCTTGCTTTGCTGCTTGTTATTCAAATTTTACTTGAAGACAGACATTTCTCATGCATTTTCAACTGCATAAGCATTATTTAATTATTATTTTATTATAATATCATATAATAATACATTATAATTAATTATATTAATAGTATGATTATTAATATTATTAATTATATTAATATTATTAATATAATATTGTATTATAATTTTAACTGCTTGGTAGTTATCTATAGATGTTCTCAGTCATTGGTTTCTGCAATTTTCTGTAAGGGCATGGAGGAGAGGAGTTTGGTTTCATGCTGTGTAAATTGAGGTTAGAGTTGCTCTCTGGATGTTGCATAATTGAAAGTTTAGGATCCTGGTTTATACATCGAAGTTGTGTAGCTCTAGGCATATATCTAATGTAATCCCTTTGAAGTGAAAGCTTGCAAAATGAAAGACCTAAAGTAGAAAAGAAGTGAGGTTGACCATGTGCCTGGGAAATACTGGGTCCTTTTGTGTATGCCTGTAAGAAGGCTGGGGGACTGTGTGTCTCTTTAGCATTGAAGTTGTATCTAAGTATAGAAAGGCTAAAGAAGGGTACATAGTGATTGGTTTTAGGTGCCACATTTATGCTGCTCGGAATTTGTTTCCTTTGGGGTCCTTGATAGTTCTGTATTCAAAGTGCATCTTCCATGCAGAGAATAACAGTGAGTTACAATGAGTCTAGGTTGTTGCTGGGACTGTTCATCACATCTGAAAGGAGGCCTTCAGCGTATGTGCCCCAAATGGGGAGCCCAGGCTGAATGACAAGATCTGAGGAGTTTGTGACCTGTCCCATAATATACAGGAATTTGAGAGAGAAGTATGAAATATGTTTTTGCAAGGAACAAATAAAATTTCTTGATTGTGGGCTGGTTCTTACATTTCAAAAATCCCTGTTTTGTTCGGTTTAAAGTCCTCCTCTTCTGCAACAGATGAGGCAGTAGTGTTATCGAGGGTTGTTTCGTTAAGTATGCAATCTGGATTCCTGTCCAGAGACAAATCTGTTTTTATACAACAAGTAGATCTGTAGCCTTAAAGATTTCAAGCATGTCCTCTTGTTGTTCATAATTTTCTCTGACCAAGAGAGTGGGAAATGAAAAGTGCTGGAACAATGTAGCTACTTAATGGATGGTGTGCGGTATGACTATGCTAATATATTGTATATGTGTATATTTTTATATATCATTATATAATAGATAATTTTTCTCTTTAGGATTTTGAATTTTGGAGGGATATATCAGTCTGTGTTAAGGCTTTTCTTATAAATATAATGATTCAGGATGCACTCTAGACATAAACTGTATTAACTCATTTTTATTATTTTAAAAATGCGTTTTTTTACTGTAGGTGAGTACACAGAACCTACCTTTCATGTGTCATTCTCAGCTGAAAAAAAGGAAGCCATCAAAGATCCCATTGAAAACTATGAGAGGCAGGTATGTAAAACTAAATATTTTAAATTAGAGTTTGAATTGGACATTTTTATAAAACATTATGGCAAAAGAAAGCTTACCTGTTATGGAAAAATTGTGGAGAACTTTRCGGATGAAAATTGATTATAATTTGAAGTCAGATTGGCTGTAATCTTGCTATGGTTGTATTGTGTATAACACTATTATGATGGGTACATACTATTATATTATTCTGTTTCCAGCTGATTTGCCTAAATTTTGATCATTGTTTTTCTTTAAGGGTGCAGTGCTGAGGAACACAACAGTTGAATATAATCCATTTTTTATTCAAAGTGCACATCTTTTATTATCTGTCGATCCTTCAGATAAAACATACAAATGCTAAACATACAAATGGAGAAGTTTAAACAAAAATTTGAAATTTGGTGACCAACCAGATGCTTTCTGTTCTTCTAAATGTACCCTCCTTGGCCCAAATTAAATATTAAGAAAGAGATTATTTGCCAGGTGCCATATCTCCTGGACTCTGAGGCAGACCTTCCACTTGTACTAGGCATACTCGTCAGGCCTGGGCAGAGGGAGGTCTTCAGTGAGTGTCTGGAGTCCCCTCTAAGTGGGGCATGGGGTGTGGAGTAATGGACAGTTTCTGCCCCATACTTGGGCACYGTGAAGGAGGAACGGGTTTGGTTTCAAACGACATGGTGCACCACAGACTTGCTGGAAAGTGGTGACAGTTGCACAAGGAGATTGGGAAAGGCTGAGGGAGGCTGTGACTAGCTGAGATGTTGCTGCCCCACTGCGAAAGGAGGAATTGTTGTGAAGCTAAAATGTGGAGGGAGGAAAGAGTCTGGCAAACCAGAAAGTAGAGGAAGGAGTTGGGAGATTTCCCCTTTCGGACACCAGGTTTGCAGGCCCTGTTTCCAAAGGGGAGTTTGAGCTGGGAAGGCCTATGGGGTGTGGGAGCCCTAGTGGGGGATAGTGACAGAAGACATGAGAAACCAGAGCTATTGAGCAATGGAGCATGGGGTGAGAGAAGTAAGGAGATGGGGAGAAGAGCTGGTGGATGGGGGTGAAACCTGTTATGGTTCTAAGACACTTGGGCCTCTGATTTTGTGATGAGGAGGGAAGGGACAGGTTTGCCCAATAAACGCTTTTCTGTGGAGCTTGAAATTGAGTTAAAAGTTTTCTGAATGTCAGGTGAAAAACAAATCCAGTTGGGCCAGTTCTCCTTTGGGTGGGCTAAAAAAAAAACGAAAAAAAAACCTCAACAAAAACAACAACAACAACAAAACCCACCACCAAAAAAACCCCCACAACTTGTTAATGTTATTTTTCACCGTGCTGTGAAGGTAAAACTAACCCTAATATCCAGACAAATCTAATTCAAGGAAGACTGGTGTGTCTAAGTGGTTGGTTTGGGTTTTGTTTGTTTATTTTAAGAAAATGATGGTTCAGTGAAGCTCTAATTTACTTTTCCCTGTTTTGAATATAAACTGTTGTTTTCAAAATCATTAAATATGATGAGTTTGCATTACATAAATTAGATTAACTGTAACTTCCTTTCTCTTGGTATTTTTTTTGTCTGTACTTACTTAAGGGTAAATATATTTTAGAAACTACCAGCTTGATAGAGAAAACAGCACATGAAAATCAGACTGACAAAGCAGAAATTTCACATCAGGAAGCACTATCACAAAATAAGGACTTACACAATACTGACAAACAGTTAAGTTCAAAACCTTGGGAAGAGAGATATGAAAGAATGTGGGTTGAAAATGAGAAAAGGGAATTGAAAATGAATTTTAAAAGCATTACAGCGGAACTGAAGCAGATATTTGGTGAAGTTGATGAAACCGATAAAACGACTTCATTTGTGGGAGAAATGTCTGAGAATGACTCCAATGAAGAATTGAAGAGTTTTCATGTAGTTTCACCTCATGTGTCAGAAACAAGTAATAAGATAGAAAGTACACATGAATTTGGAGATAAGAAACTTGTGCTGGGCCTAAAAGAGCCCAAAATGGACATCCTAATTCCAAGTCCTGGTGTTCTTCCTGATGAAAATAACTTGAAAAGACACGTGGAAGATACCTGCAGTAAAAATGAAGAAGATTGCAGTAATAGTACAGATAATATGGAAATACCTATGGCAAAAGGAGAGGGAAAGCAAATACCTACTGTGGAGATGGAAGAAAATGAGAATGGAAGCAGTAGAAATCTAGAAGCAAGTCCGGAATACTCTCTGAGACGTTGCTTAAAAACATGCATTTTGGATGATGTTTGTAATGTTTTTCCTAAGGCAAGACCTGTTTCTACAAATGATGAAAATTCACTTTGTATTGTAACAGAAAGGCAATTTGGAAAAGACTCCTATTTTAGTGATGATGTTTCCAGAGACTACCTTACCAGTAATGATAAAGTAGCAGAAACAGAAATTGAAGATCTTTTTGAAAATTCTCAGCAGTTTTGTGGCATACTGGATGGCAATCTGGATAAAGAACTAGAGCAAGATATGGAGAGATTTAAGAGTAAGGTAGGAATGCTGCAAATAGTATTCCTGGCTTTGGAGAAAGAGAAGGTACAGCTGCAGAAAGAGGTAGAAATTCACCTGCTGCTCCTTGTTCTTTAATCTTTCTCCATACCAGTGGTCCTGTTCACTTTAGCTATTCGTCATTAAGGAAAGCTGCTTTGTGCAAATTGGGTTTTGGTTCAGTGTAGGTACCTTATATGAATAGAGAGAGGGAGAGGTGGAGAGTTGTCCTCTGATTCTGTAATGAGAAGGTTCTGAGAAAATCTAGAAATGCTGTTGTGCTAGTTTAACAACAGGTAGCATTCGGTTCCAGTGTAAGTAGTTATTAGTTCATTGTCATAAAAAGAAATGCACACAGTCACACTAGTTCTTATTCTGCATTAAAGAATGAAAATAGCTGCTGAACAGGGTCCTGATTCATCTCTGCCTTTGCTATGAATTGTGCATGGTGTGCCTTCACTGAAATTCTGGTTTGCTGTGAAACCATTTCTGCTTGTGGACTTTCTGGTATTTTATTGCTTTTTTTGTTTTGCTTTGCTCTCCATTAAGGAAGTAATAGCCAGCACACTTTGACTCTTATCTCCTGTATTTTTACAACTAACATTGTGCATTCCTTCTAAGCTGTCCATCAGTAATGCCTTTACTTTTCCATTGTTCATGTTCAAGACGTACTGTTGTTCCCTGTCTAAGGGTATGCAAATCCCAAGTACTTTCAYTGAATCAGTACACTTTGTAGTACAATTTTATGAAGATACCTCTCTAAAATGAAAATGCTTAAGTTCACATTACATGGCTTTAGAAATAAAGACGGGATTATTCACCTGGGTTTGTGATATTTCTCTCAGTGATACTAAGAAACAAGCAGAAATATGTAAAGCTTAACTTGTCTTTTTGTAGATTGAGGAGGAAAAAAGAAAGCAAGGATGTTTTGAAAAGCAGATGGTGGCAGAAAAAGAAGACCTTGGGAAATTAAACATATTGCCAGGCAATGTTACTAATCAGCAAATGAAACAAAGGCTTCCTCTAGAAGAGGACTGTCTTAAAACAGAGAATGAAGAAACAGAAGAAGAAAAACCCAAAAAGACCAAGACCAAGAAGAGATCAAAATTAATTGCAATGCCGTTGAAAAGGTAACCTAATAATCTCTAATTCTTAATTGTAAAATTGTCTTTTTTAATTTGCACTACAAAGTAGTTTCTTAAATACAGAAGGTCCTACAGACATTGCTTCCCAAACATTTAAGAAAAAAATACTGTTTTGAGAAAAAATCTAAGTTCGCAGTAGACACTCAAATTTATTACTTTCTTTGTCAAACCGAGGCTAAACATATCTTCAAAACTGGAGGCAAGAAAAAAAAAGCTATTTTTATGAGAAATAGATATACTGGGAAAAATGATAGAGGCTTGCAGTTTATTTTGCTTTCTCCCTTTTGTGGGTGATGTTAATGATCTTCCTGCAACTGGTGCTTTCATTAAGTTCAGGCCCACTTTGTCCTGTGAAAAGGGAAAGATGATATTACCAAATTAATCCCAAAGGTTTGAAGAAAGCACAGATGGACAGTCTTTGCTCTGTCTTCTACTTTGTATAAAAATTTGAAAGATGAAGATATAGTGCCTGTATGAACAGATAGCTAGTTCAAGAGAACAGGGCTAGCTGTTTGTGTTAATATTCGATGCATTCTAATGGCAGTTAAGTGGGAATATTTTAGGGGAGTGCTCTGCCTTTTTTTTTTTTTCTTTTAATCTTGGGCTCTGACAGTCAGCCCTGGTAGTTCAAGCCCAATGTGCTCCTTGAACAAGGGTGTCTCTGTAAAGAAAAATATGAAACCTTTTAGTACRGAAGCACCTCTGTAACCTCTACAAACACAGTTACATAATTACAGACATAATTGTCTATACAGAAGAGAAGGGAAGTGTGGTTTGGTCTTTTTTGGTAAGACAATGTCTCATTTATGCAATACTTCCAAATGTTCCCTAGTTCCTAGAAAGGACAAATTTTACCCAGCTCTTCAGCTCTGAAGCAAGGGATAATCCTGATGGGCAGGAACTTCCTATCRGAGCCAAGTCTCACTGATGCAAGCCTGCTTTCCGTCTCCTCTGTTGAATGTCCTCCAGGCCACTTGCAGAATGTATATCTGTCAGGCAGAAGGTGGACTACAAATCACAGGGGAGATCGAGTTCAGTGAATCTCCTTGAGAGAGGTTCAGAAATACTTTAATTAACCCCAAACAGTGGGATTTTCCTATCTTTTCTTCAAGTTGAATCTCTGTTAATTCTTCTAATGAGCATGGGTGTGTGTTCCAGCTTACCCGAGTCTACATCAGATTCCACCATTCCCCTCTATTTCTAGAATGAGGAATTTTAATTACCGGTATCCTTCTGCATCCTTGGAGTCAAGTCTGTCTTTTACCACAGACATTGTTCTAAGCAGTTACTGAGCATCATCTAAAGTGTGTCTGTTTCACAGAAATAAGTTACTCAAAACATTTTTTTCTGCTTCCTGTTTAATGTAGTAAATCTGCCAAGGCAACGAAAGGAGCAAAGAAAAAYGGGAGCAAAAAACAGGCTTCAAAGCAAAAGGCTAATCAGCAGATGAGTTCTTCCAGTGGCATTCATTTTCAAGAATCAGATGATACTACTTTCAGTGAAACATCCCAAGAGGAAGGAAGGTATTGAGTATAAGAAATACTAGAAATAAAAGTTACTTGAAAACTGACCTGAAAACTAAAGGAAAAAAAAAAAATGATATTTGTTCTTTCATGTGTGACCATTGTTATCCGATGCTTTTTGTTTTGCAAAATGTTTCCTTTTTGTTTTGGACATTTCAAAATGTGCTGGTCAAGTTAATTATAAGGATGGATGTACACACTGCTAAATTACCTGAATGTGTCTTTATATGTAGATGCATTTATATATGTGTGTGCATGTTTAACTATAAATATTCCCTATTTAAAGGGGCATGGGAGGTGCAAAAGATTCATAAAAATGCAAATGTATTTTATTGCAGACTTTTTTTTTAATTCTTTTATTTACATCTCATATTTCTTATTCTAACACTGAGAAGGTTAACTAACTCTTTATAATGCAACTCTAAGATGTTGAGTTAATCTGTTTTGCTTGCCTGAAACTACTTCAAATGGAACAGTGGATTCAGTAGGTCTTCCATGTGGAGATAATTGAAATGGCTGCATAAGTGAGCTACACTGGTCAGTCATAAAGCTGGCCGTGCCACTGTTCCKACTACAGAACCCAAAATGACGATGCTTTAACTTGTTAGGGAAGGAATCTCAGCTCTGAAAACAGAGCTAAAGCTCTAGCATTAAACCAGCATTGTGGATAATTCATTCATGTAAGTGTCTGTGTAGCTGTGTGATTCCTATCACTTAGAACAAACTGCAGTTTGCAGAGAGTTGTGTTTTTTGCTTTGTGGGTAAAGCATCCTTCCACTATGAACAGTACAGATAAGATTTTTTGCAGTCTTCAKCAGTATATAACAAAATTCTTCTATTAAGTTTCAGTTTAATTCACTTACAAAATTAAGCTGTCAGAGCAATTTTAGATATTATTCATAATGCAATATAAGCCTTCTAATACCAAAATCTATTTCTGTTTTCTAGATCTGCAACAAAAAGAGGAAATGAAAGGAACAAGGTACTGCAAAATAGCTTTCTTGATTTAAGTGGCTAAAAGCTGATAAAAAAATATTAAATAGCAATAGCATTTGTATAGGAGTTCACCTGATGCATAAGTTGGTGCTTGTGTGCAACTTAACCATATTTGAGCCAAGTCTACGGGAAGTAGACAAGAAAACAAATCATTCTTGCATTCATAATAATCTATAGTTATATACTGTTATAAACATCATATACTGTATTGTTTGTAGGTCAGCATACAAATGGATGTCACAGACCTTGATTTAACTCAGTCATCTGACACAACTACAGAGGATGCTGAACTGCCAGCGTCAGCCTACAAAGAGGCCATGGTGCTGATAGAACAGCTGAGTGTAGATCACACAAGTAAGTTTTCAAATCATTTTGTCTGTTTTTTTTTCTTTCTGTACAGCCCAAGTATTTTAATTTCCTATATAGATTTTATTTTTTTTTCCCCATGATCAGAAGTGCCCAGACAGTGCAGAATCCTGTAATTGGTGTGGAGTTCGTCTCACCTAACCTTAAGTGTTTGTCTGTATTATTATCAGACATATCTCAAGTACTTGCCATTGGTGTTCTGTGATTGGAACTGGAGTAGTAGGTGCTTGTAAGGTGCAGCTTAGCTCATGCAGCTCACTCAACTCATTCTCGTGTAGTCATCAAAAGTTAACAAGATAGATCTTCCCCTTTTTTCCCTTTATGCCCCTTAATAGGTATTGAAAATTAGTGAAGTATAGGCTTCACTAAAAATATATATGTGGGAAATCTATTGTCATAATATGCTTGCATGCATATGCAGAGCATTATATAAACATAATCATCATTTATTATTTCTAATAATATAAAAATTTTCTATGTTAACACTTCAGCAAATTATGAAATTAAGAAGTTGTACATTGGGAAGGATTTGTGCMTATGTGCAGTTTTCTCTCTCTTAAATCTCTAAATAGATTCTTCTAGTTTGTTGAAAATTCAAAACATACTACTTGAATATGAGCAGAGAATAGAACATGAAAAGAATCGATACGCCGCACTCTGGAGAGAAGTGAAAAAACTGGAAAGTGAAAAGGAGGAGTCGCAACTAAAAGCGGAAGAGACTCAAGATTTGAAATCCATATTTGCTCATCAAGAAGTGGAATGGAAAAATGATATCCAAAGCCTTAAGTATGTAATCGTGCATTCTCATAACATGTTATCCTTTCAGTATTTATTTGCAGAAGATGCTGATCATGTAGTTTAGAGCCTGAAATCTTTCTAGTCTTGTAAGACTCGGATAAACYGCTACCATAGAAAAGGGAAGCAGTCTGTATTTGCTGAAGAATTAAGTCAGTGATCAAAAACAGGCTTAGAAATGCAAGTGTTTAAGCTTATTAGCATTAAAAACTGTATTTTTTAAAAAGTCGATGGATCTGTACATGGAAGAAACAATAGCAATTTAATGTTGAAGCAAATCGATAAGAAGGAGCTTATGGATTTTTTTTTTTTTTTTTTTGCCAAGTAGTATAAGCAGTTAAAATTATTGCAAGTGTAAAGCTAATTCTGTTTTAACATTTAATTTAGAAACAAATTACATTCATTATTATTGATAGCTAGATAAGTGGTATGCTCTTTTATTAATATCTCTTGTAGTCACTGTGAATCCATTTGTAGATGTTCAACATATTAAGAAAATATAGACTTTTAATAGTAAAAGYTTATAATGCTTTGATCTAGTAACACATACATTTAATTTTAGTAAATTTTCTATGTAAAYATGTTTCTGTGTATTTATATTTGCAGGGAAGTTGTAGTGGGAGGTGAGAGTAGAAGGTGAGAAAGTGCCCTTCATGATCCACCCCACAAAGCTGTGGTCTTTTGTTTTGAGCCCAAATACAGGATTTGGCAGAACATTTACTCAAACTACATATGATCTCCTTTTGCAAGAAGTATGCATTTATAGAAATTTGTGTACTTCTGTACATTTATATATGCAGATTTGAATACATGATTTATTTTGTCCACAACTTAATCTGTGTACAAAATAATGGATTATATCTGTATCTTGTGTAACTGATACTACTAATTGAATGAAGTCAAAAATCTTTAAAAATACAGTAAATATAAATTGAAAGGATGCAACATTTGTGTTTGAGTTTTCTCTGAAAGTTCACAGTATRGAATATTCACTTTTTTAAGGTCATTGCTTTACTGTTTTGGTTACACAAATAGGTTTGAGGATTCTTTGTCAGAATTTATTCTTTAAATAGCCTTTGTTAAATCCCAGATTTACTTTGAAGCAAGAAGAGGAGAAGAGGCTCAGAGCAGAAATGCAATATGAGAAAACCAGAGAACAGCTAAGAAAGAAAGAAGATCACTACTGTAAAGAGATGGAAGAGAAACAACAGATYGAGTTACACTCAAGGAATTTAGAAATGGAGTTAATAACATTGAGAACACTCTTGAAACAGGTATATCAAATATTAGCATAGATACTTGTGCCCTATTTTTCTCACATTTTTTTTAATTGACATTGTATTCCAATATATTTAAAAAAAGAGAAATATCTGTGGAAGGTGCATTAGTTATCTATATTGATGCATTTTGAGAATGATTGGGGACTGTTGGTTCATAAATGGTCTTTTTTTTTGTTATTCATTTACAACTTCATGTTTTTTTTTCTCATTTTCAGAATCAGAGTTTCATTTGTATTACAGGCCACGCTTGGTTTTGTTGTGTGTGTGTTCATTTTGATTTTTTTAAATATATTCTGCATTTGTTCTTAATTTGCAAATAGACAAAATTGTTGGTCTAAATTGCTTCAGAATATAGGCTGTTAGTGACAAATTTAGGCTTTCCYGGGCCTAATCTGTCTGAATTAGGCCTGACCTAGGGCTATGTCTGTATTTCCCTTTCTTAAATTCAGACAGTCTTAATCAGATGATTCAGAAGAGTTAATTACGAGATATTAGCTCTCAAACRGTGGTGGTTGTCTAGAAGAGGCAAAACAGCTCTTATGGAATTTCCTTACAATACTCTACATTGCCTAAAAGGCAAACTGTCTTCCTTAACATGTGTATTCAGCTACTTAACACTTAGATGCTGCTTTTGGGTTGACATGAGTGTAGAATAAGCCCACCTACCTTGTCTGGTATAACTAAATTCCCMAAAAATTAAACAAGCAAACAGCAGAATCCCCAGTGAGTATCTCCAAACTAAGGTTTGGCATCCACCACAGAAATGGAAACCACTTAAAAAAACAAACAAGCCAAAAAAGAAGTATAAATTGCCATTCAAAGTCTGGGGTGGTTTTTTTTTTTTTTTTTTTTTTTGTTGGTTGGTTTCTTTGGATTTTTTTTTTTTTTTCCACAGAAGGATATTAAAAATAGATTTTTGCAAGTGGATTATCTTAACTGATTTTTCCTCAAGATTTAAATAGTTCGAATGTATTATTGTAGGTTGAAGAAGAGCGTGATGAAACACAGAGACAGCTTTCTCAAGAAAAGAGTGCCAGAGCCCTACAAGAAGGAATTTTAAACAACCATCTTTGGAGACAGAAGGAAATAGAAGAAGAAACAAGAACTATAGCAAAAGATTCAGAGGTAGGCAATTTTATTTCTAAGTACATTCATTTCACTATATTGTTATGAAAATTTGATAAATCTTTCTGGTAATCTTTGTCCTTTCTGCCAAATTGTTTATGGTTTATCAAAATAATTTAACTGTGTAAATACCATTTTTTGTTTGTTTTTCTTTATGTCTTTAAAAATTCTGAAGAACAACATCAAACGTGTTATCATAAATGTAAGATTTGTTACCTTGCTGGACGGTGTCTTTTCCTGTTTTAGTTACAGTGCAACATCTGATCCTGTTGCTAGCTTTTTGAATTAGTTATGTCCTCCACAAAATTACTACTACTACAAAAACAAACAAACAAACAAAAAAAACCTCTTTCACTTCCRTAAGTTAAAATTGTGTGAAGGACTATCACCCATGAATGAAATTTTCTCTAGAGTAACTGGAAGGGAAAAAGTGATCATAACTCATTCCAGGATCTGTTTAAGGAACATTTCTTTGAATTTCTTGTGAAGACCACTGCTTCAAAAGAATAATGGCTGTACTAATACTGAAATGACTGTACTAATATTGAATATTAGTATAGCTAATTGCATATATAATAAAGAAAAAAAAAAGAAATAAGAGTACTGCACTCCACAGATGATTGTTTGGCTTGCATAGCTAACCCTTAGTAACAGGGATGATTGAGTGACTTGAATATTTAATCTTGAGAAAAACAGAAAACTAAAGTTTTGAGATGTTTGCGGAGAACTATTAATACTTAGTGCAATTCAGCTAAACGTTAGAGAAGAAAAATACCTTGTCAAGGCCTGTTTTGTGAGATTTCATTGCACAGTTAAATTTACCTTTTAAGAGAGTATGTTACAGGCCTATAATAGTGTAAATATACATATGTATATACATACACAGCCTAGTATTGTAATTTAAAAAGTGTTTAAGATATTTAAAATAATTTTATTGCTGTATTTGGATGGAGGTAAGACATTTTAGACGTGGGACATTCATTTGGGTTTTAAGGGCATATTAGACTTCTAGAKATGCAATTTCTGCACACAGTTACGGGCTCAGAGATGGCAGCAGTATTTCTGCTAATGCTGAAGTCACCGCATGAAGTCGTGCTTCAGCATTACACATGTTAAAGAGCACTTTGCTCGAGTGCTTTTCTAGATGCATTTCCYAACTGGCTATCTTTTTATATTCTTTATCACTTAGGTATCTGACAGCAATGAGAGAGAAAAGGATCTCCTATACAAAAATCAACTACTGCAAGATGAAATTTCGGTACTTAGGCTAGAGGTTGATCAAGTAAGACTTAGGAACCAGGAAGAAGAAGCAAAATACACAGAGGAAAATGAAACCTTGAAGGAAAAAAATGAAGATCTTAAAAAGGAACTTAAGCTAAACGAGGAAGCTTTAACACAAACCGTCCTTCAATGCAACACACAGCTGAACTTACTAAAGACAGAATCAGCAGTACTGACCTCCAAGCTGGAGCAGACAAAAGAAAGCAAAGACAGACTCGAGACCGAGGTTGAATCGTTCCGCTCCCGTTTGAACTCGGCCGTTCAAGAACTTGAACGGCACCAGGCATCAAGAAATGACATTGAGCGAGCATTTCAGAGGGAACGTGACGAGTGGCTTCGTTTGCAGGACAAGCTGCATCATGACCTCTCTGAGGCGCGAGAAACCAGCCAGAGCTTGTCCCAGCAGCTGAGAAAAGCTGAGAGCAAAGCCAGCAATCAAGAGAATGAGATTCACCAATTGAAAGAAACGCTAAGAGAAAAAACACTGCTTTTAGAAATGACACAAAAAGAATTAAGTCAGGCCCAGTGTCAAGTAAAGGAATGTGATCATGCCCGACAGCTTGAAAAAGATCAAGTAAGCAAATACATGATAAGACAAGAGTCTTTGCAAGAACGGTTGGCTCAGCTGCAAAGTGAAAACCTTTTACTCCGTCAGCAACTAGAAGATATGCAGAACAAAGGTATCATCAAAGAAAAAGTAGTGAACGATGTCCAGGACAGATTTAATGATATTTTCAATAAACTCAGAGCTGACACTGAAAAGCAAGCTTACCTGATGGAGGAGAGAAACAAGGAATTAAATGCCAAATGTGCTGACTTAAGAGAACAAATCTTTAAATACGAGACTGACAAAGTAGAAAGAGAGGTAAAGCATATACTTATAAAGAACAATTTAAGATTTGTCAGTTCTTGAAATTATTTTAAGTTTCTGGAGTTCAACAGGTATGTGCTGCATGCGTGGGAATACACTGTGCGGGCTTGTCTGCCTTGCTGTGTTTTTCTTGGAATAGGGGGAAGCTTTGTGAACAGGATGTCAAGGCTGTGATCCGAGCAGAGAATAGAGTAAGGTAGCCCAGTCTGAAGCCTGATGAAACAGTGATAGTTCTTTAGGAGTTTATTTTATTTTTATTTCTTCTACTTAATCCTTTTGGTGCCATAATGAGTGAGTCGTTTGATTCACTGTGCATCTGTGGCACTGGTGGCACAAGGAGTGTTTCCCAAGGAAGAAGTGCCCAGTGTGCAAGAGCTGAGAAGAGGAGATGCAGACAAGTGAAGTGATGGGAGAGTGAAGTGAGGGCCAGAAGTGAAGTGAGGGCCAGAGTAATGTCTGCAGTCCAGTAACAGCACTTGCATCTGAGCAATTGCTGGTATCTTCTTAAATAAAGATGGATAGATGCTTGCAGTACCTGTGTGTGTTTGTGTGCTGTATGTGTTTGTGTGCTTTTCTGAGGAGAACGCTACTTAGTGGTTTTTAACGTTTAGGAATACACAGTCCTAGTGAAGAGATGGCAATAGTCTAGATGCCCTCAGCAGGCAAAGACAGATAGCAGTCATCAGCTGTGCAGGTGCCCAGCGAGTGTGAGCAAAATAGCTCATCTTTTGGGCCATTCTGAAGACTGATGTAGTTCTATAGCAGAAGGAAAAAAAATAAAAGCATAGTACATGGCCCAAGCCTTTAATTCCAGCATATTCTTCCTGTTTCATTAGGGTGCTGTGAGACAGCTGCAGCAGGAGCTCGCCAACGCGCTCAAGAAGCAGTCCATGTCAGAAGCGTCACTGGAAGTTACCGCGCGCTATCGCAGTGACCTGGAGGAGGAGAAACTGCGCTTGCAAAAGGAGTTGGATAGGGTTAAAGGCAAGGTAGGCAAAGCCTGCAACTCTAATTGCTATGCACTTAGTACTTTAGAAGTTTATTGTTAGCTACCAAAATCCTAATGCACACTAATGCGCGCGCGCGCACACACACACACACACACACACACACACACACACACACCCATCAGTGTGCACTTAAATATTTCCTGGTATTCCTCTCCTTCATGGACTCTGGCTGAAATTTGTCTTCCTTAGTTGACTTGTTACTAGTCGATTGTAAGCGGTATTCTGAGGTAGGGACCAGCTTTTGCAGTGTTTGCCTGAGTATTTGTATGAAGGCATAGGAGTTCTGAAATACAAATCATCATTTTATATTTGTTACTRGGGAGTGAGGGCTCTTCATCTCGTAACTTCCTTGAGTTAGGAACAATTGGACACTAATTGTCATGACTCACTAAAAGAGTAGAATTGGCASTATCAGTGCTTAGAACATGTTTTAGAAAAGCGAAATATGCTGGCAGAAACCAGTATAAAAGATGATGCAGTAACGGAGATTTTCTTCAGCTGCTAGTAGAGGTATAGTTTTGAACGTGTTTGCAATCATTACAATTGTCTAGTTAGAAAGAATGTGCAGATATATGTAGTATTTGATTTATATATATACATATATACGAAAAGGTGAGATGACTACTATGGATTTTTAGTGTGTGGTTTTTTTTTTAGTTGCAGGAATTGGAAGAACAGCACATTCAGTCTGAGCGTTGCGTTCATGATTTGAAGACTACCTTAGAAAACAAGGAAAGGGAAGTAATAACTTCTTCGCAGAAACTTCAAGACCTTCTGGAAGCTTCTTTGGGAACTAATACTACTATAAAACAACTGGAAGAACATGTGCAACGGTAAGAAAATAACAGTGAGGCTCTGTAGAATTCTACAGCCTGTAGAATTATGTAGAATTGACAGGATTGCCTTGTTGTACCAGAGCATGTTAAAAAGTGTTTTTGCTTTAGATTGTGAAGTGCGTTGTGACAGTGTGTGTGCTCTTGTGGATTCCCATAACAAGACCAATATTTCCTTTTAAGGCTTGAAATTGAAAATGCCAGATTAGAAGCCACAGCCAAACAACAGACCAATAGGATTGAGGTTCTTCAGAAAGACCTGCAAGCCTCTGCCTCRGTAAGCGAGTCATAACTTCCTTCTTTCATGAGCTATTGAGCGTAGTTACGTGTATTTGCATGTGGGGAAAATTTCAGAAGAGATTTTTTTGGAGATCCTAGTAGAAATCATTCTTAGTAGTCTACAGAAGATCAACTGTGGTTGAAATCGTGCTGGTCCATTTGTAGCTTTTCTGGTTCTGACAGTTTTCTGATGGTACTATGATGAGTCTTTCTTAACACTGAGGTAAGGGTTTGGCACTGGTGTAGTGGTTTGAATATTTGTTGCTGTTGTTGCTGTATACTGGTCATCATAGTTAAGACATGAGGCAATACTTCAGACACATGTTGCATTATGTATCATTAAAGGCCTTCTTAAAGCTACCTTACCGGATATTCTGGGGCTATACTGGTACTACMTGCTTCATCCCTGAGTGCTAGTGGGCCTCACCAAACTGTGACAAGAACTGTATCCCCACAGCTTTTGCTGTGTGGAATGGCATTTGTCTTAGCGTCTCTGTCTCTCCCATCCCTCCCCAAAACAAGTGGCTGAAGCGATGACTACTAACAGTATTAGGGTAGCCACAAACTAAGGTCATCCTGATGACTGGAACAGGGAGAGGTARATAGTATAACAGCAGAGAAAGAGGAAAAATGTCTGTGTTCCTTTTGATAATACCTCTTAAATGAGCTGTGAATTTCAGTCTGGAAAGTGTCAGTGTAGCCTTTTTTTGCCTTTTTATTTATTTATTTATTATTTATTGCTTCTACAGGTTCATAATCGCCTGGAGGACTTGATCACCAGCCTGCGGACAGTACCCATGCCTTCAGAGGAAGATCAAAATCAGCAGGTACCTCAGGGGTTTCTGTGAATTGCTTCTTTTAGTCTTGAAGCTTCTATGTGCATGTGAAGAATAACCTCATGGTTTTAGGGCAGTACAACCTGGCTTGGGGAAGTGACTCCAGACTTCCTAATTCTTCTGCTTCTGAGATTTGCATCTGATGATATGAAGATACTTCCATTTATCACTGTAGTTACATAACTGTATGCGATTCATGCTTTGCACAGGAAAGATACTTGTTTAAAGCTGAGAGAAGAGAATGGCCTTGAGAGATCCAAAGATCCATGTTTTCAGATTTGTCACAGTTTGCCTGTGTGACCACGTTACCTTTTTCTCCACCTCTGAAGAGGTGATGGTGCCTGTCCTGCCACACAGTGCTGAGGTAAAGAATAATTACTTGATGATGGTGGCAGGCAGCCCRTTTCATGTATGATCTAGCACTTTTTTGGAACCCCACAGTATCTATAGATACATATTCTTTGGGACCTGAGTAATTTGTGTTTGGAAAATGAAAGTGTTTTGCAGACAGTAGGAAAAATATCTGCCTTAGAGGAGAAAATATTTCTACCCAAGAGAAGCCTGAACTRTTTTCCATGTTCTTTTTCCTTTACTCCCTTTTCAGTGACATATTCATGTGTTTCCTATCAAGGAGAAGGTACCACCAGGAGATTTTTATCAAACAGTTCTTTTTCCTTGCTTGTTTTTAATTTATTAACCTTACCAGAGTTGTTCTCTTGAACTTGGACTGAGCATTTTATCTATTCGGTGAGGATGCTTGAGAAAAATACTTTCTCCAAGGACCTGTAGTCTAAGTAAGTGTCGATATTAAGGCTTTCACAGCCTTCTGAACATCAGTGGGCATAATATTTTTACTATAGGATGCTATTCAAAGCATCTCATGAATTGATAATACTCTTCAACAGAATAAGCAAGTTATGTTCCACTAAAATGCATCCATGATGGAAATCTTTTGGGGTATGAGTATGGACAAGATTACTGACTTGAATGTGTGGAAAGTATTTTCACYTCCCAATGATGAGAGGAGGATATTTCCTCTGAAAACTGGAAGAATTTGTATATGTTGAGTAAAGTATGTATCRTTATGAACTGGAGAATCCTTGGAGGAAGTGTTCAGATGGACGAGAAGCTCTGTTCTGCCTAACCTGTGGCTTTACAAGATTGAGCTCTGAATGCAGTTGTTAACTGAGAAGGTTGGGAGGAGGACTGGACCAACCTCTTCAGACCATGAATGTCATAGGGAGGTTTTATCTTTGTGTCTTCTTATTCCTCCAGTTTGTAAACACAGCCCGTCACGTGCAGAGCATTCATTCTTTCCACCAGCTGCCAGTGTTGTTTTTGGCTATGTTTCCTGGGCTGCCTTTTGCTCTCTTTTGCTCTTCTCTTTTACCTTAACCATTAAGTGGTAGAGGAGAGCCTTAGTCATGTCCCCACCTAGGTTACTGCTTTATGTTGCATTTGGGAGTGACAGATAAGGTAGGTCTCTCAGGCCCCCAAATACTGCCTTTTTCTTATGTGAAGTTTGTCTGGCAGTAGATCACTACTGATGCTTTGATTTGTTACATGTGGCTGAAAAGGAAATGCTTTGTTTCCTGCAACTTTGGTTTCTATTTTGGTGCTGTTATTTTGACAGATGCAAAAGCAGAGTGTGTTATCGGTGACAGCAAAAGATCTGCGCAGTACATGGGAGGAAGAACTGAAATCAAGATCCCAACTTCAAGAACACCTTGCTCAGCTTGAAAGGGAAAAGGCTGAGCTCTTGGAACAGGTTAGCCTAGAAAATTCTCCAGGCACTGAACAAATGCCAGGAGAAATGAGTTACTTTTCTTTGCCAAGTTCTTACAGTTTCAGGTTTTCTTGGGAAATAAGTGTCTGCTAATTTGCAATGGGCAGTCTTTCCTATTTTTTTCCTTTTCTGTAGAGGAAAAGGTACAAGTACAAAGTCAAAATAACTGCTAGCTCTCCTCTGGTTTGCCATAGAAAATACCAGAAGGAAGAACAACTGCTGGTTTAGTAAACATTCAYGAAGATGAAATGGAGCTAATCGCAGATAAAATATCTAATAATTCTCTAACAGTGAACTCAGTGGGCCACTGATYATGGAAGATTCCACTGAAGAGCTCTGCACTTCTCTGGTATTAGCAGAGGGATTGAAGAAGCTGTTCTCCAGTGTCTTTCCTACCTTTTCCCCATGAGTCCCTGGCAGAAGGTGGCTTTCGCTTTGGGAGGAGGACATCAGTTTCTGTCTCTGGGTATTGGCTTGATAAGAGGATTGAAGTGCTGARTTTCACGTAGGAGTTCTGCAGACTTTTACTAGTGGATGGAGATATCCTACAGTTTCTTTGTGAAGAATGCTCTATGYACATATTGCATATAGATACCATTACTGAATTGTATCTTTTTATTTTATTTTTGGAAGTGTGAGGCTGAAAGAAAGAAAGTGAAAAAACTGGCAGAAYTGAAACGGCTGGTAGAAGTCCGTCTGGACCAAGAAATGAAACGAAACATTGATCTGCAGAAAGAGTGCAACAGGTACAGCTCTTTACTACTTGCAAGAAATATTGGATAAGCTTGGTACTGAGCTCTAATTTGACCAAGACTGTGAGTACRTAACTGTTCACATATTCAAACCTTGTGTTACATTTTGCAACTGGCTTCTGTATATGAGCATATGGTTTTAAATAGACAAAAAAGACATTGTAAATGCAGGCTGCCTGCGGTCCTCCAGGGAGGAGAGAAGTTAAAAGTCCCATATTTCTGTTTTGAGGTAAAATTTTAATCCTTCAATGCACTTGTGGGACTCATTCTTTCCTTCCCCGACCCCTGCTGCTTTCTCCTTGCTTGTCCCTTCTTTGTTAGCAATTCCTGATCTATAAAGCACATTAAAGATGAAGTAAGCCCTGCCCATACTGTTTACATAAGCATATGTGAAAGTGGCCAGTTCTCATCTTGCTTCTTATTTTGCTTGTTAATTTGCTGTCCAGGGTCAAGAAGCTTTTGAAAACAGCTATGAAGAAACTGAAGGTGTATGAGATGCGAGAGAGCGAGTCCCAATTCGGTTCTCAGGGAGAAATGAAGAACAGGTATTCTGAAATGGTCAATGAAGTCAGTAGATTAAGAACAAAGGTAAGCTTTTTGATGTGCTCTTTTATTCCTTTCCTTACTTCTTTCTATATTGTTGGCTGAAAATCAAATAGGACCTCTTACCACTCTGGGTAATGATGGCACCTTCGTGTAAATGAGAGTCTCTGTGAAGACAGAAAAAGGGCAGGCTGGTGTGGAAAGGAAGGAGGCCTCAGGAGCCAAGGGCTGCAGCAAGGCAGGTGAGGGCCACAGCCTCCTTGCCCACACACAGTCCTAGAGGACAGAATCACAGAACAGTAGAGGTTGGAAGGGATCTCTGGAGAGCATCTAGTTCAACTCTTCTGCTCAGGCAGGATCACCTAGAGCATATTGCCTGTGACCCTATCCAGACAGCTTTTGATTATCTCCAAGGATGGAAACTACAAAACATCTCTGGACAACTTGTGATACCAAGCAAGAAGAGTACATCCAGTGGCGGTAAGCAGGGTAAGTCGAGCCCAAGTGTAGGGATGGACAGGTCAGCAATGAGGCYGGGAGGGCCTGTGTCAGGGTCTGGGCTGAGAACAGCATGATAGGATAGCTCAGGCAGAAACTAGGAGTGAGAGCCTAACTTCAAAGCAGCTCCTGAGCAAAGGGGGCTGAACCTCTGCTGTGGGGTGTCTCACATCTCTTGCAGTACAGCTGCACTATGTGTAAGTCAGCCCTATACAGAGTTAGCCAAACTCCTGTATTTTGAGCTCTAGCAACACCTTCTAGGTCTGATGGATGAGGTCTTTCTCCGGAAGAAAGGTAAAAAAAATGGGTGAAACCAGCTTTGTTCGAGTTCTTTTTTTGTGCCCTCTCCTGTTGGATAGGAGAGAGTTCTCATTTCACTCTTCTAAATTCCCTTATTGCCATTGAGAATAAAAGATACTGCTGTGATACGAAGTTTCATACCTTATAGTTCACTAGGGCCTGCTTTGACCCATCTTCCCACGTCTTGAACACCCAGAAAAGGAATTCTGTGAAATGCTTCTGAAGTTGCTCTTGCTATATTGTTGTCATAAATATACACATTCTTCATCTGTAGCATATATTTACTTCCCCCAATCACATAAGTTCAGACTTGTTGTTAAAGCACCATGTTTCACAGATGTTAGTTTTATTAGATATTGGATAGAATGATTGTATGATTCTGTGATTTTCTATGACCATGCAAGGAGTTTAAGAAAAGAAAAACTGTGGTACTTTTCAACCTGTCCACATGGATGAAATGCTGCTAGTTTGTGCTGTCAAGGTTCAGAATCTGTTGATTTGTGAGCTATTGAAAAAGAACAGAGAAAGGATGGAAAAGTGAGCAGTGCTCCCAGAAGTGTTTTAAAAGATATGTTTTCCTTTGATATACATCCTAAGCCGACAGATGACAACTACARTCTCAGTGGAGACATTTCAGGATTTTCACAGAACTGAGTAATTTTCGATCTGTGTTTTKTGTTTTGTTTTGTTTTCTGGCTATAGGTTGGTGAACTTTCCCAACAGCTGGAGACAGAGTCCAAAAAATCCATGCAACTAGAAGCAAGAAATCAGGATCTAGGAGATGAACTGTCTTCTATGCGTGGGAATCAGGAAAAATTGGAGAAAAGTAAATGCCAGCTGAAAGAAGAGGTGTCTAACCTCAAACGTCGTTTAGAGACTAATATAGTAGATCACAACCAAATAGAACAGTATAAGAAAGAGATTGATGAAAGAGCTGGACAAGAGTTAAGACAAAAACTACAGGAAGTTAACCTTTTCCTGCAGGTAAGTCACTTAGGTCTAGAGTCCACCTTATGTGCCTTCTTTGTTAATACCTTTTAGTATTTTATCTTCTGTATCTGTTTCTCTCTGGTAGTGTTACACTTCTGCCTTTTCTGAATTAAAATTGTAGAAKGGAAAACATCTGCATAAAAGTACTTTTGTGCACATACAGTATGTGTGTATGAAAGATTGGTCATGCTCTTTGATTGCCTTTCAGTGGCAATCAGTGGCAGGTCCTTGAGTCAAGGCCTTCCAAAGGTGGAATTCCGTTTCTGCAGTTCTTTGGGGGAATCACCATGTTCTCTTTTTATTCTGGCTGTTTATTGTGAGGAAATGGCATTGTTTTGTGTTATCCTCTTGGCTGCAGAATTGAGTCCAGGGACATCACAGGTAGCACAGGAGATAGCATGGGGTATGGCCTCTTTTTATCCTCAGAAAGATGCTGCATTGCCATTGTAACTCAGAATTTGTGTGACCGGGCATACAGGTGCTGCTTTGTCCTTTTGTAGACAAAAGTGCCCAGAAAAGAAGTCTCTGGAGTCGCTTTCCTTTTCTGGACACTCTTGTAACTTCAACAAGGAATTATTTTGTGTATGCTCTGGCCTACAGGGATGGTGTTCTTTCAGTAATAGCATTGATTATTAACAACAGTGAGAGAAGATTTCTTTCAGACCTGCTCTTTCAGAAAATGAAATAATGTGGTAGAATGTTTTCGTCCTTGATTGTGATGGTRGTGAGGAGGCATGGTTGCCCCTCTGAGTAACGTTGTGCTCTTTAAACAGAGTCTATGAAGTTGATCCCTTTTTCTTTCTGGTTATTGAAATTGTATTATTCACGTTCAGACGCAGGCAGCCTCGCAAGACAGATTAGAACAAATAAGAGCCAGTCATCACGCTTCACTGAGAAACCAGCTAAAGCACAGAATTAGAGATCTGGAATCAGAATTGGATAGAATAAAAAATATGCAACAGGACAACATTTTTCAAAAAGAATCCACACAGGCAGAAGTGGGAAAGTACAAAGAACTCTACTTGGAAGAAGTGAAAAATAGAAGGTGCCTAGCAAATAAACTTGAAAGGTAAATAAAGCTACACTTATTTATTTATTTGTTTTTAATCAAGTAATAGGATACCACTTTTGGAGCAAAATATCTTTTGCCCTTCATTTTAGCAGCTCACCTTTGGTTTGAGTTTACATTGAGAAGTAGAGGATAGCCCGGAGCGAATACTGTTCAGGAAAAAAAAGGTGTAAATAGATGGTATTCATTGTTTTGAAGCCCTGATCCTGAGAAGCCCCAAGTATGGTGACTCTTGCTACTTCTTACAGGAAGTCTGACTTCCAAGAAGTCAGCTCTTCAAAAACTTCAGATCAAATTGGAATATCTTTTAGAGCACTTGTAAGCCTTTCCATTTTCGGAAGTTTAACGACAGTCTAAGACCTGGAGAATAACTTTGCATTACCAAAGCTATTTCATGCTTGCTTCTGAATTTTTCACAGAGCTAATGAAAGACTAGCAGAAGCCAATGCCAAACTCCTTAACGAGCGCCACAGAAGCAGATCTTTAATTGCAAGCAGTATTGTGAGTGGAGGAGGTCTGACTGCAAGTCCAGTCCTGTATTCAACTCAGCTGGGACATCTCAGCAACAATTTGGCACTGAATAGAAGTCTTAGTCTTGGAGGAAGCTTCATAAGCCCGACGGGGAATGCTTTATCATCAAGAAATAAAGTTGAAGCCTATGTGGCTAAGGTAGGTGTGGAGTTTTTGTTTGTTTTTGTTTATTCTTAAATGCAATTCTCAATTACTTCTAAAGAATATCAGTAAGGAAGGTTAAGCATCTTAAGTGAGGATCAGCAGCCATTTCTTGTCCCAGAACATGCAGTCTAATCTGCTAAAACAACTGTTTATCATTCAAATAATACACATGCGTCTGGGGCAGGTAGTCACCTGGGTTGTACAAAATTCAGGCGTGCTCATAGACTAAAAATTATTTACATCTGCTTAGTGATAGCCAAATGGTTTTAAAAGAGAAAAAATGTGATAATGTTGTTGCACGGGAAGCTCCCGGATAGCAGATATTTATTACATTGTGACTTATAATATTTGGTCATTAGAAATTCTCTAGATTGAAAGTATGTAATCTGTTTTAAATTGATAACTTCATAATGAGTAAAACAGATGTTTTACTGTTCATGGCTTATTTTCTCTGCTCACTGTTTCTCACTCTAGTGCCTTCTTCACTTGAAGATGTTTTGGTACATTAATATCAACAAATAGATGCTTTAAAAAAAAAAAAAAAAGAATGATACAGTGTGTAAGTGCAGGTCCCTAACTTCTCACTCTATAGTATAGTGAAGGCTTTATGCTATGCCTAGGACACRTTTCTTTTCAGGAGTTCCTGCTATATGTTATTAGTTTGGTCTTCCTTTTCACAGATSAATACTGTGAAATTGAATGGGTAAAACTGACTACTCATCAGAAACTCCTTTTTGGTCTATTTCTGCAGCAATGCTGCACCCTTGGTAATATCTCCAGCCAAAGCRGGCCCCATAACTAACAGTCTGTGTGGCAGAATGTTTCTCACAGAGCTGTGTGTCAGTAGTTGGACAAGGACATAATTCTCCACAAAATGCTTTGATTTATTCCCTTCTTTGCATAGAAGGGAGGCACGYGTGAGCTCTCCTCTTTATTCTGTTGTTGACAGAACATGAGAAGTATTTGGGTACCTCTAATTCTGACTCGGTGTTGTGGTGCTGCCCATGTTCTGAGGATGTTTAAACAAGAGGTCTGCATGCTTGGTTTCAAGGGAGCCAACAAGTGGGTAACAGACAAAGCAGAGCAAGTAATGAGCAGCACTTGCAGTAGCAGAGATGAATTTGCTTTGGATCTCTGTAAATGCTTGTTTCAGATGAGAGAGAAGGATGCACATTGCTGAGAGAGCTCAAGAGGCAGCCAGTACTGTCCCATCAGCAGGGGTTTTTCCACATGAAAGCAGCAGAAAACAGGCAAAATGCAAGGACCTTGTACAAGAGTGAAATAAGATGAAGACCAGGACAAGGGAATGCGAGCAGTAGGACAAGGAAGGAAAGCGAAGAACACAGAAAAAGGAGCAGGATGTTAAAGGAGGAAAACAAGCTTCTTCCTAGGAAAAAATATGTCCTAGTTTATTGAGAAAAGGGCTGCAACTTGGGCTTTTTTTTTTTGTATGTGTTTTTTTGGTTTGTTTTTTTGTATGAGTGATGGCAAGAGTATGAGCACATGTGGCAGCAGAATCTGAGATGCCTCCTGCTTCTTTCTGAAACCATTGGTATCCCTGGACTTGCAAGTACATGATTATTTCCAGACAGCTTGATGTAAGTTTTGTGGACTTTGTCATCTAAATCCCGTGGCAATTGCAATTTAAGGATTAAAGAACCTCGTCTAGCCCTATGTTTGAGCAACTTTCAGTAGTGGTTGTGTGAGAATGTGCTGCTAACCTCAGCAGGCATCACTTATCAGAAACAATTTCCAAGGTTTCCCTTTGGTATGAGGTTCTGCACCCTGCATCATGATGAATGCCAGTGCTCCTGTGTTGGGATGGTGTTTGATTGCATTTTCACTTGAGTTGCTGTTACAAGAAGAAGGTGATGTGCAGGGGGCTTCCAAACCATCGTGTACCTTGTTCGTGCTTCAGTATGGCTTAGTTAAATGGCACTGACTCACAGGCCAGTGAACTGCTTTGGTGTGACTTTGGTTTGTGTCCAGACAGCTTGGAAAGCCAAAGTAAAACATGAGCTGTGTGTGTGGTAGTGAGCACGCACACACACATGGTCCAAAAGAATGCCTCAATCCAGCACAGGCTGGAGCAGTTTTTACTGATAAACTATCATTCAACCTGTAATCCAGGTTTTGGGTTCAGTTCCTCAGCCCAGCTGAGGCTCCTCAGAGCTTGTTAGTGACAGAGAGGTGTTGGAATCTCCGTTCTTGGAGAGTATTACTCAAACCCTTGGATAKGGCCCTGAGCAACCTGCTCTGCATGAGCCTGCKTCAAGGAGCAGAGGATCCCGAGGCCCTTTCTGCCCTTGGCACTTCTGTGACTCCRCAGTTTCAATGCCGAATCCCAGTGGGAATCCTCATTCCCTTCAGCAAAAGCCAGCAGGCTCCTTCAGCACCCCACTGGCAAGGAGAAGAACCAAAACAGCATTTCTGCACTCAGCAGCCAGGAGCACGAGCAGAGAGTGCCAGGGCCTCAGGAAGGGAAGCGCTCTGGCAATCGGGAACAGCCACAGGCCGCTCCAGGCCCAAAGAGCCGGGCCTCACTGCAGGAGAGCAGAGCCGAGGGCCCGCTCAGCAGGCCTTGCTGCGGCCGAACTCTCCCGCTCCTCAGGGCTGACAGCCTCCCGGAGACGCTTCCTGGCCATGGTCGATGGTCGCTGCCGTCGCCGCCTCAGGAGGGGAGGCAGGAGCCGAAGCACCGAGAGAAGAACAAGCGCCCCGAGGCTCCGTGTAGGAGCAGGAGGAAGGCCTAGGAAGAAGGGAGCCTGTCAGATCCAGGGAGATGTTGGTGGCCGAAAGAAAATGGAAAACATAATGCTCAGACCTAAGACTGGGCAAATACTCAGTCTTTTTATGGCGACTCATAAAAAAAGAGGAACACTCCTAAAAGATGCAGTAACAGCTGAGAGATTTTAAATTCTTGAGAAGCTAATATCAGAAAAAATGTAACTATTAAAATATTAACTGTATTTTATATATAATTCTAGATACGGCGAGAACTGGATGAAAAAATCACTAAAGAGCTTGAACAAGGTAATTTGTTCAATTATGTTCCTATTTAATTTTAGTTTCAGTTTAGTTTTAATTCCAATTTTATTTCCAAGATTTTTCAATTTAGAATTTTGTGTGAAGATGTCGTGGGTACCAAAGTATTTGTATACAATATTTAGCAGTTGCCTAAAAATAAAACAAAATATCCCTCCAAAACAAACAGGAAGAAAACCAACCCTTCTTCCCTGTAGGAGATGAACTTGGTTTAAGCTCAAGTCACTTTTTGTTGTAGTTAATAATCAAGCACAAATGTTGAACACACAAGAAGCCATTCATCAAGATTTGTATGTACTTCAGCAGTCACTTCTCTTCCTRTCAGTAGCAAAGGCTCTTTTTAGAAAAAGATCATTTAGCAGCTTTTGTGAAAATACAGAATGATTTGACTGCTTGTACTACGTAGCCTAAGGATAGCATACAGGTTCAATAAAATGAAGACAGTTTTCCATAGAATAATTCCACCTTTTCATGATAATCATTTCTCCGCAGTCATGGCTTTATGGTGGCTGGGCCTGTTTCAGAACAATAGCCTCTGAGGGCATTTACTTCTATTCCAGCAGTCATCAATCCCACAGCACGGGGCCAGCTGGTCTTTTATAGCTCTTCCCGTTTGCTTGGACGGACGCAAGGCCATTGCATTGAATCTGCTTGCATTTTGGTCGTAATTACCTGCCTAGTTAGGAATGTTCATTATTTATTTGGTTTTGAGATATATGTAAATATGGCTGGAAGAAGACAGCATTTTAAAACTGCCTTTATTCAATGTGTGCTTTCATGGAAGGTAGTTTTTTAACAGGACAAGCCATATAGAAGCCCATCAGAGAAAGATATATTATTCTGGATGGGAAAGTTGTCTAAGCTGMCTGCAGTGTAGAAGTATTTGCCTTTTACAAGGATGATTGTTTTGGACTTTATCACATAAAATACAGAAACAATTTTGAAGTCTAGTATTCCAAAACACGGTTGCTGTGAACTTTTAAGGAAAAYGGAAACTTGAGTGTAATTGGTTTTGAGTTCCCTGAAAACATTTTGCATATGGCCTCTGGAATTTATTTTGTTAGCTTTACCAATACTGTTGACTAATGAACATTATGAATGCTCGGAATGAATATACATGAAAAATCCTATTTATTTCTTTGTGTCTGTCCTCTTCACTCTTTCCCTTGAATGCTTTTAACCATTTCTCCAGATCTTTACCCTCTGCAGTTACCTACTTCCTTCTAGTGACTTACTTGGCCCCAGTCCACTGTAAAACTAGTGCGTGGAATCTTACCTTCTTTTCTCGCCCTTCTCRTTCCCCAGCCACTGCTGAACTTGAAACTGGATCTGCTGGAGTTTCACCCGTAGTATCTACAGATGGATCTTCAAAGAACGTAAATGCAGAGCAGGATCCCCTTTCAAGGGCAATACAGGAATATCGTGATGTTTTAACCAAAAATTACTTGATTTGAACAATCACTACAGAAAGGCTATGTAAAATATATGGTTTACTTACATGTTAATGGTTTGTCACTAAGTGGTTTAGATGTGAAAAATCCTTATTGCAATTTGAATATAAACTGTGTTAAATGAATGTTAAGCACACTGCACTTGTCTGTAAAGAATATTGCAGGGATGTATTTTTTGTTTATTTTGCACTCACAAGAAGAACTGTAGTTTTTGTGACTAGCAGATCGACTAATTTTGATTCCTGAACTTGACAGGACTGCTGAAATGTCTCTTGTTAGAGCAGATGCATTGTCTTGCCCACTCATGGTCTGTGTTTTGACCAAAACATTCCTTTTGTTYTTTTTAGTACTTCTAAATTTATGTTTCACTTGTTATTTTGATACTAAATCTATTTAATCTGTTTTATGTCTGGTACTTCTGTCTTGATTCCGTGAATATTTATGTTGAGTAACTCAAACAGTGTTCGAGATGRAGAATAGGGCATTTTGCATCTCTGTCGCTTGTATGTGCTTCAGCTTAAAAAGTGCTGCTGGCAGGTTAAAAAGTGCTGTTAGCTTAGAGCAGTGCCAAGAAAATGGACGTGTGGTCATCTTAGTATGTTCATTTCAGTATCCCACGTTGTTCAGTCTCGCAAAGTGTTGCAGCTTTAGACGTTTGCAGGCACTGGGTCAGTGTCTGTGCGGCACCTGAAGCACTGACAGGATGTGTGACGGGACGGCCGAGCTCTCTGGTGCTGCTGTGGTGGCTGTAGCCGGGGCGGAGGGCAGTGCTCTTGGAGYATTTGCAGCAGGAATGCGCTACCTCAGGGAGTTAGGCACTGAAGATGAGGATTTCATGTTTCTAAAGTTGTTAGTGATAAGAATATACTAGAACAGAGAAAATACTAATTCCAGAAAGTTAAGAATGGTTATAGTGAATTGAATGCAGCCTGGAAATATTTGGCTTTACTTACTAATTYAAGGACCTAAGTGTCTATGCAGTGGGGAAAAGCAACAAATGCTGCCATCACTCTCTGCTGCTTTTTTGTAGGAGTACAGAGTATTATCTACACGAAACTGTTGTATTTAATTCAAAATATTCTGTTCCATTTTTGTAATTAATAAATTTTGTATTCTGGTACTTCTGTTTCGTTTTACCCTTTTCCTGCCTTCACTTTATCCCTCCCCCTGCTTGTCTCTCTCACAGAACAGGACCAGGATTGCTGCCAAAGGGGGAACCCTGCTAGGAGCCTGGCCTTGTGCTGCCCTTGGGGSAACAGCCCGGTTTTGCTCCTGGCTTGCAGTTGTTCAGCCCTAGCCAAGGCGGGTGGTGCAGCCAGGCCTTCTTCCAGGGCAGGGCGTTAGTCCTGGCTCGCTTGCTCACTGCCCTGCCAGTAGGCATGGAAGCACGYGGGCTGTCCCTAGCCATGGCCTGTCTCTCTGCACTCTTCAAGCTGAAAAGGAACCTGCTGAAGCCAACGGAGGTATTGAGAATCAGAGAAAAACAACAAGAAACTCTCCTCACTTTTCTTATTGGTGATGTGAGGTATAGTTTTATTGTGATACTGGACCAGGAGTGAATTGGCTTTCAGTTCTGAGCTTCACCAAGTTTCATCAAGCATTCTTGTCATAAGATGAGTTTCTTACAGCCGGGAAGCCCTCTGTTGAGGGGCAGTCTCTCCTCTTCAGSCCCATCAAGGCCCTTGTTCTCCCTTTCACTCGGAGGAGGCCTGGCACCAGCAGCGGGGACTCTGGCTCCCTTCACAGGCGCAGAGGCTCCTGTCTGTGAACATACAGGGGTGGGACATACGACTGGATGCTGGGGAAGAACGTGGGGAATAAGAACGCTTATTATGGGAAGCTAAAGGCAGGATCCAAAGGTGGGGGACACGAGGGTGGTTTGGGGAAGAACAAGCATATAAACAGGCTTTTGCTCCCCACCCTTGCCTGGCTGTACCCTGTACTGGGTCAGTGGCATCTGACCATTTTTTTTCCCCCATTAACTCGATTTCTAACTTGCCCRGAGTGTGGGGCTGTATCTGGAGGGGTAAGTGCCAGCAACTGGGGTCGGCCATCGGGGGAGTGTCTGTGCAGCCTCACTGGCTGCAGCTGGGGCAAGCAAGAGGATGCACAGGAGTGTGACCATCAGGCTGAACCGGAGCCAGCAAATCGGTGAAGCTGCTGGGGGAGCCGGGCAGCAGTGTGTCTGAAAGTGAAAAAACCGCACAACCTGTAGAAACCTTACCGAGGCTTTCTACTTCAGTGGGGTTTTAAAGGTGGCCTTTGGCTGGTGTAATTTAATGCTCCTTGTGATTATCTTGTGTTTGTTAACATTGCCGTTTGCTTACTAACATCTCTTTACCTCTGAAACAGGTTAAGCGAAGTAGAGTGCTTAAAGAACCAGCTATGTTGTGGACTCCTAATCTGTTTATAATTATGATGTACACTTCACCCTCCTCCACACTGGAATTTGCTCCTCCACATCTACCATGGTTATATGTATTTCCCTCTTACTACATTATATGTAAGGAGGTTGGATATTTTATATGAAGGAAAAAAAGATTTTTGTCAGCAGGAAGAGCAATTCTTAGGGCATCCTTCTGGAATTCATGAACTTGTTCTAGCACACATGTTCTCCAGCCAACAACCACCCTTGCCTATGATTAGCTTGACATCTTTTTCTACCTTTTTTCTACCTTTTTTCTACCTTTTTCTACCTTGAACAGCCTGTCTTGACAAAGACAGGCTGACAGACCAGGCTTTTGGTTAAGTTCCTCTTGCTTTGACACTAGCCCTACTTTATCCTCAGTTTCATCCCATTTTTTTTCTGAGATTTTCCATAGATGTCTTTTTTTCTTAGTACAGGAGGTTAGAGAGATGAAAATCATCATTGCAAGGGCTGTCCTTTAGAGGGCAGTCAGAAGCATAGCAGCAGAAACTACACTTGCTGGGAAGTAACGCTGCAAAGGGACAAGCGTTGCTCTGGGCACTTGGGTGCTGAGAAAGGGGTATTAATACAAGGGTAATCTGGGAATTAACTTCACCCAAGGGTRATACTGCAAGCAGCCAGGATCCCATTGGCCYTCTCGGCCGCAAGGGCACTGCTGCCTCATGGTTAACTTGGTGTCAACCAGGACTCCCAAATTCCTCTCGGCGGAACCTCTCCAGCAGGTCAACCTCTAATGTGTACTGATGCCTGGGGTTGTGCTTCCATGTAATAACAATAAGCAGCATTTGAATTAAACAGTAATTGAATGTGAGCTAAGAAATATACTGAGACAGTCTTAAAAATTAAAACTGTAATAACAAAAAGCTCAATCTTATCCCATTCAAATTACACAAAAGAACCTTGAGGTTGCCTTTTCAGAGGTCCTGATCCTTTGCACTTCCTGTTTAAGCTGCAGTTACACCCGATGCTTATATCCAGGGTGAGTTTAAGAGAAGCAATATAAGAACCACAACAATTATAAGGCTGTTCCCGTTCATTTAATGGCCACTTTCTCCTATTTTGCACTTGCAGTCTAATCACAGGCATCATTGTGCRCTTTTACTGCTAATGATCTGATTGTTCGGAGAAAGGTGGGACCTGGTCCTACTAAATGTTGACATCTTAACATSCTCCGCTTTGAAATCCCGTTCCCAGCCCACTGAAGCTCTATTATGGAGCATTTCCTCTGCAGCACCACAGGTTTTCAATCACCATCAGCTCCTTAGCCCTAATTGCTTCCTGTCCTGCTTCTGCTCAGCGCTGCAAACCACAAGCTCAGAGATGAAGTACTACAAAGGTGACAAGCTTTATATATTTATTTATTGGAAATGCTATATGCGGGTCTTTATGTTGGGTTTTGTTGATCCTTACTGCTACATCAMTTTTAAACTTGCCGCTATGGAGCGAGTGATGCGAGAGCCTCTGCTCCCAGGTGCAGGGGCCGTTCCAGCCGCAGGTCCCAGCCACGCTCCGCTCTGCGGCCGCCCGCCCACCAGGCGCCCGTCACCGCTTGCGGGACCGCCCCAGCCTCCGTCTGCGCCCAGACCACACTGGCACCTGCACCATGGACAGAGCTGAAGCTGGAGGTCGTGCAAGGGAGAATTCCTAAATATCTGAGCACAAAAATCCCAAAGAATGTAACTAGTATTTGGGGGCAAACAGGAACCTTCTACCTGACACACCAGTGCCTTAGCACATTCCGAGTACAGGATGTTTTCTTGTAATTTCTGGGTGTACCTGCACATGCACAGTAACAGCATCTCTGGTAAACAGCACTTAACATATAGTCACCACTCCTGTAAAAACTCACCTTTACCAGTATTTAATGGGTTTCTATCCCAATTCCTTTCATTTTGAATGGAGTTTGTGCTTGAAAATACTTCTTGAATATCTCAATCTGTTTAATTTCCACACTGGTTTCAAGGCAGTGCCCCATTATCACCACTGCTGTTAAAATGGAAAAATAGTCACCAAATCCAAGATAAGAAAAATCCAAAGTATAAAACTAGAAGATAAAACAAGAGAGAGGAAACATAAAAAAAAAAAAAGACAAACCAAACCCTCGATCACACATGCCATTTTGGTGAGCAAAACCACCAGTGCCTGCCCTGGGCCTCCACGTGCACGTTTTCCTTCAAATAACGAAGAACCTTTGGTCCTTGCTTCTCCTTTGCAAGGCAACCCCAGGCAAGATGCGAGTGGGGTGAAGCTCCTCGCCCCGAGCTGGCAGCTCCTGGAACACGTGCAAGCTCCCGGAACGTGCACTATGGAAGGATGTTACTGCTTGGATAAGGTCAGGCTTTTAGTGCTAGGAATACACATTCTTGGCAAAAGGCAGCACGCTATTTTGTTTCCGACTTTGCTTTTTCCAAGGACAGAGGTAGAAATCAATGAACAATGCTGGAGGTGGGGGGGGGAGGTAGGAGGGCAATGTTTTGCCTTATTTGCCCTGTATTTGTACAATTCCCTTTCTGTATTTTATCTTGTGCTGATATTGTTTCAGCAGCAAAAAGACTTTGTTACGCAGTATTCTATTAACTGTCAGCTTTTTTTTTTTTTTTTTTGATATAAGGAATTATTCAGTGGACTTCAATGACTTTCTGCAAGCACAGAGGAGTCCTCCTCTGACTTATCCAATGTGTGATCCATTTCCTAAAAAAAAAACAGGGCCAAAAAAGGTAAAAGGCATTCTTTTCTTTTACTAAGTCACAAGATCAATAAAGGATCTGCTTGGCCTCACGTGCACACCAGAAACCCCCAACAACCTACTGTAAATTACAAGAACTTCACTGCAACACATTTCTGGAAAGCCAGATTCATGGAGCTGAAGATGCTTGATTCTAGGCAGTGAATTTGCAAGGAAAAGCTCTAAAACCTATTTAATATTAAGATAACAACAAAAAACACTTCTGTAGAATACTACCAACTTCTCACTGTCACCTYGCTATTTCTGGTGGATAGTGAGTCTGATGTTGACTAAAATGTAATGCACTGGGCACTCTAACAGACTTCTGTATGCAGGGAGCAACCAGGTTGAGCTGGACAGAGTTGTACAATCCTCATTTTCACAATTTAGGCAAACTTCATTTAAAGGAAATTTCATCTATTTAAATAGTGCTGTATCTTCAACACTACACTCTAGCAAGATAAGGGTTACATACTAGCAGATATACAATTTGTTCACTTCTGACACATCTTACCCAAAGTTTGAGCAATACTAYGGCTGCTGAGGGAGGAAGACATAGGCTAGAGTAATTCATTCTATAAGGGCCTTCGATTTAAAACAAATACTGGTTTATAATCTGCTTTCTGACCAAAAGATTTCTGCAGATATCAAGAAAATAAGAATTCCTGTAACTCTGATGAAGTTTTAGAGAGCAAAGAATAGTGTTTCATAGACCAAAGCAACCAATTACATGATTATGACATTAATTTGATGGTAAAATCTTCCAACATTCTTACTTTCTGCACTACATAGAAATCTCAAAAATCCATTTTCTACTTACAGTGAGTTACATTTGTTCAACAGCTCTACTACTAGTAATACCTCACATGAAAAATGTTAGTGATTGTTAAATTGACTATTATGCAATCTGACTCCAACTAACTGGTGTTAAAGCAAAACACTGGTTTACCTTTACGAATGAGATTTCCACTTTAAGAAGCATAKTGACATTGCCTGCATTTCCCAAAACATATTTTACAGTGAAAATAYGTAGCATGAAACCACAAAATAAATCAAATAAAAAAGTCTTAGTAAATCGTAGAAATTTTAATTTACATGTCAAACATATTCATAGTAAAAAAAAAAAGTGATGACTAAACAAGTTACACACAATTCGTAAAAACTGTCCATGTTCTTTAAATAGGTCTGTACAACCAAACATTTACACAGTCCCTGTGCATTTTTTCCTTTAATGCACAACCGAGTTCAAAGGTTCTGCACGAATGTTCCCCAAGTCAAGAGCTGAATCTGTCTCTTCATCTATTTCACCAATGACAGCACTGTAATAAAAAGGCAAAAAATAAAGGAAGAAACAAACAAACAAAAAAAACAGGTTATCAATTGCTGAAATCCCCTGGTGCAAATCTGGAAATGCAAAATTAATTTGCAGGTTGAGATTTTTTGTAATTTTTTTTTAAACCTCTGTCGTTTGAACTTYGGGGTCTGATGGTAACAAGTACATTCTAAAGGTTGCAGGAGCGTTTTCCTTGATATAGACAAGAATCACTACTAGACTGTTTTAGGCTAGTCTTTGAAACAAAAGCTGGAAATCTTTTAGCAAGAATTTTTCAAGAGCAATGAACTTTCAAGAGCAATGTAACTGTGGTAATTTATAACTTCCCAAGAAATAAGGTATGCAAGACATGAATAAAACTTTACTAGGCTGTGTTGGAAGAAATTAATTTTATCATTCAAAGAACAACACAGAATTTCATCTAGACTATGATAAGGCTATATGGACTAAAACAACAGTGGACTTTAGAAGCTGCCTCAGAGAAAAAAATTATTTTAATATATATATAAATAATTTCTATATATTTTATATAATTTTTATATGTATTATATATATTATACATATAATACATAATTTTATATATATATTATGTATTATATGTATATATTTATATAATATATATAAAGGGAATAGAAGTTTGCTAGTTCAGGATCCTGGGAGCTATCTCAGAGGAAACATAAGTACAAAGACCAAACTTTATTCTGACATATCCTTCTAAAACTGCAGTTTCCTGCTGACAGTTTTTAAGCTTGCCACATTTGAATTTTTTGACGGATGGTACACACAAGCTTTTGGAATGTGCCTTTGAAACATAACAGAATCCCTGAAAATGTTTTATTCCTTAAATTGTTTCTTTTTCYATATATTTTTCACTAGCTGCTCTATTTTCTCAGAGTCTTTTTTTTTTTTTTTTTTAAGTTACTGTTTCCCTTCATAAAGGTGCTGCAATCTACCCCTCTTCTCAATCGCATTAAATAAATGCTGAAAAAAATGCACRGGCATTTCTTTGTTGAGAAATATCCATCAGAAATAGAAGACGAAAAATTCTTCCTCAGGCTGACATGTTAATTGCTCCAACATCTTTCTTTTTTCTGTTTTTGATAAAAAAAAAAAAAAATCTCACTTTGTTGCCATCTGTTTCAGAGCGCTGCTACAAAAATCATCTTCCTAGCAGGCCATTTCACCAGGCCTTCCTTCTACTTCTCTTGTAATCCTCTCATCTCTGTTTGACACATCAGCTACTCCTCTCTTCTTTCAATAAATTTTTACCCTCATTTTGTAACTGCATTTGATATCAAGTATCAACAACAACAACAACAAAGGAAATGTGTACAAGAAGTGAAGCAAGGACAACGCTCCGAGCTTCCTACTGACCCCTCCGAGGCTGCTCTCAGGACGTGAGCTTGTTAGTCCAGATCAACAGTCTCTGAACTGCAGTGCTATCGCTTCTGTAACAGCAACACACATCGCACTTCATCTGCCACAACTCTGAYAGCTTTCTCTCTGCTTCCTATCAAGATGCGGGTTGGCTTGGGTTATCAAGATACATATAGATACACAACTGTATACAKGAACCGTATGCTTAATTAATGTGGTTTATTTATGAATATGCTATACTTACACATTATCACCTCTTACAATGTATAATCCCAGGACAACCTGTTCAACTCCYTGTGAAGAACTGAACACTCGTTCATGGCTTTCATCCAAAATCAAATTAATGGTCTGATCAAAGCCTTTGAGAGTGCCCTGAAAAAAAGCACACAAATTTAAGCACTTCAACGATCTTTCAATCATCTTTGCTCTCAAGGATATCTTATAAAGTGGTACTACTAAGGTACTCCAGAACACAGGCTTCATTTCATTTTAAGGCCAAAATATATGCAGCTGGAGAACAAAACTTTAAAAGTAATAATCAGCTTAGGAAGAATGATATTTTCCTYGAGTATGAGTGTTCATACTAGCCACTATTGTGATCTTTAGTATTAGAAGAAAAGCAATTTCCTCTGTGCCTATGATGGCTCTCTAGATTGTTAATTTTAGTATTTCTACAATATTTTAGTCTTTCTTGTATGGAAATTTCATGAAAGCAAAAAAAGAAAAGAAGAAAATGTAGAAAAAAATAGATTTTTATATTTAATACTAATGAAACTATTTCTAAGAAGCATTTTTAACTGCTGATTCTGTAAATAAGATTATATTTTTTCTCACAGAAAAGCTCAAAAGGAAGAATTTCTGTGTCACTTCTAAGTGAGTTTAGAAAAAAATATTATCAATTGCTAATAGCAAATTGATTACGGAAATTAAATTTGCATAAAATGCTACCACTTAAATAATAATGATAACCATTTATACTATCTTGCATGTATTCATATACACCAATTCAGCTTAAATCTTTTCCATAGAAATGTATCCTGCATCACAACTGAAGTTTCTCCAACTAGCTCCAAGCAGAAAGAGAATGGTCCAAAGCTAATATATTTCTTATAAAAACACAGATATCCTTGCTTTACTACTTATTATTTTCTCCTTCCAGAACTACACTGAAGAGGATACATATGGATAGAAATATATAATCCTCACACAATGACGGTATCAGTAAGTTACACTCAAAACACACAGGGCGGGGGGGAGAAGAAAATAAATAGCAGAAAAGCACTAAAAATAAAACATTATGCAATCGAATACACAGATTGTCAGTCCTCAGCTTTTCAGAGTTAAACAGAAGCTCAGTGTGTCCTCAGTTATCAACTTAGGCCTTTCCTGCAAACATGCAAGGGAAATGTTTTTAATGTGAAAGTTAACGTAGAGACTATACTGTATAAAGCAACTTTGTTAGAGATGGAAAAGAACCTGCTTAAGAGAACAAGAAATTCACTTACACATTCCTGTAGAAGACACTACCTAAATGAGTCAAAAGACAGCACTTCCAGGTATGAGTTTATGAAAGGACAGAGCTCATAGGCAAGAAGTTGTTTAAATTATGTTACTCAAAATAAAGCTTAGAAGAGTCTTAAAGATATGATCACTACGGCGGTGTATATGCCGTAGCACTGTTTATTTATCCCCAAGAAAGGGGATCCCCATCCTTATGGGAGCAAAGCGAAACACTGAAAAGCGCAAGTCTCACCACGATCATTCTTCCATCAGAGGTGATCACCGCGACAGTGCCTGGCGGTTCGCTAAGGAAACGTTCGGAGGAATCGCAAACAAAACCACTACGACCTTCTGAAACAGCCACAACGTAAGCATTACTAGAAACCAGAGGAACCTTTAGAAACAAAAAGTGGGCAGCAGCACCGCTGACAGCAACAAAAAACGAGCCCTTTTTGGCACCAGCCAGCATCAGAGCTTCCCTTCGGCCACAGGCTGGGCCCATGAGCAGATCTGAGCACTAAGCACACCCCACGGATCAGAATCCTTCCCCTCCTCCCACTGCTCAACGCACTGGCCCAAGCAGAGCTGCAAACTCCCAGGTGTGAAGCGCACAAAAATGCTTTACTAATACAAAGAATTGTCCCCTCAACCCACGTCCCCAAAGGCGGCTCGGCAATGGCGACCTCGAGCCTGCCAGCTCAGCCCCCCTCCCTCTGAAGCTCCGACCGGGCGGCGCCTCGCCCCGCCGCAGCTGCTAGGCTCGGCCCGCCTGGGCCCGGCTCAAGGATACGGTTGATGTAGTTCTCCAAGGCCGAGGTCATGGCGGCGGCTCCCGCGCTTCGCCCCGCGCCGGCTCCACACGCACCTCCGGCGCGCGCCGCTGACGCAACGTCCCGCCGCGCGGGCGCGCGGCCACACGGTGCCCGAGTCGCTGCGCATGCGCGGCGCCGCGCCGCGTTTCAAACGCGCGTTTCCCGCGCGCGGAGCAATCGGAGCTGCGCATGCGCCGAAAGGCACCTCCCCCCCCTCCCGGGGGTGGGGGGAGAGCGGGCTGTACCAAGTAACGACCAAGGGGGCTGTACCAAGTGAGCGGGGGCGGGGGGGGGTTACCGGCTCCCTTAGAGTTTGCGCTGTTTCCTTGGAGAGGTTCCGTAGTTCAAATTTCTCAATCTGGGCAAAAATTTAACATGTTTTTAAAAGGCGTGTGAAGAGCAAGTAGGCTGTGCTTTTTAGGCAGGAGTTTGGATCCCACAGTTTAGTTATTCTCTTTTCACCGCGATCCGCAAGCCTGGGAATAGCAGAGAGGAGAATCTCTGCGGGCTCGTAGCCATGCGCTGCTCCCACCAGCCCTCCGCCCTCTSCTGCTGGCACGTTATTTCTCCCTGTTTCACCCTGATTATAACTGCCTTCCCTGCTTCCTCGCTAGTTATAGTGATTTTGTGCCATTTCCTCAGCCTGCTCGAACGCCCTGTGAAACAGAGAAGGGCAAGAAATCTGTTGGACTTGGTGACTCCTTAAGACAATGTTGGAAGCTCGCCCAGCGGAAGTATCTCGGCCAAATTACGTTAAGGCATCCAATAACAGAAAATTAAGTTAAGGCATTCAGTAACAGAACTAATTTAACCTGTAAAATGGATTTCCTGCTATTTGCTTTAGCCATTCTTCACTGGTAGATAATCATTTTTTGAAATGTATTTTCAAAAATATTTTGCTATGTGTAGCACATACAGGCCTCGTCTTCGTTTCCATGCGACAAATTTGTCATCAATTAATTCCTCTAATGCTGTTTAATAATACAGCAGTCTGATGGGTTTTGACATTCAGAAAGGTACAACCCTTAAGTTCCCAGGTTATAAGTAGTGTACTCCACAAACTTTTTGAAATAAAAGGTAAATGCTGCTGTTTCAGCATCACTGCTCRAGTAATATGATTCCATGATTCTGTGATATTCATTATGTCACTTTAAAATGTGTTTTCTTCCTACTGATTTCCATTTTAAACACTATTTGCTGCCCGTTTATTGTATTGACTGCCTAGGTTTTCAGATGTAATGTTGTATGGGAAAAGTTATTTCCAAGTAGAAGAAAAAGCACATACAGCAGTAGTGGACCATTTTCAGGTTAGCATACTATGAAATGAAGTTGCATAAATTCTTGACTAGAAAATTATTAGTTGTAAATTCATGACCTCCAGTGGATAGAACATTAGCTTGGCACTCAGAATACAGAATTTCCTTTCCTGTTCTGTCAATGAGGCTTTTTGGATGACACTGAGAGCGTAATTTCATCTCTGTCGCTATTTACAGTCTATCAGAGAGACGAGTGATGGTCATGGCCTTCATAAAGTTAACACTGGAAATAACACTGGAATTGCATATCATTAGGAGATTAGACTCCCTGGAAGCACTGCATAGACACTGAAAGGAGAAAACTCTTCAAATAATATTTTGAAGAAGAGGAAATTMATTTTCTCAAGAAAGTGTTTATCTTGATGTCCAGAGGTTTCACCTGTAMATTTCATAAATCTTCATATATTAAGAGACTATATCTTTTGATACCTAGAAAAAAAAAAGATCAGATATTTAGAATATAAGCAGAAATTCATAATTACTCATTTCATTAAGAATTCTGCAAAAAGAAACACTACGTAGATACAGACCAGATTTCATCCTTTGTTCTCATTGACTGGAGATATAGAAAGATGCAGATACAGATTAGGCCAAGTTAAGGCTCTTCAAAACTCTCAGTTCTGCATTCCATAACTTTGGTGTATTTTCCTTTCAAATGTAAAAATATGTTTCTTTTTTTTTTTTCTCCCGATTTTCTACACAAAAGCTATTTAGAGTCAGATATTCCCAGCCAGTACKAGTGGTGCCCCCTTTTGTTTCAGTGAAGACTGTAGTGAGGGTTTAGTGAGAGAACACGGAGTACTTTTGCAACCGAGTGTTGTATAATGCCATCGTCTTAAGCTCTTATTATAAAAAGATTAACTGCCACTGAACCTTATATCAGGACTGGAACTCATTTATTATATATTATATTTAAGACGCTGAAGATAATTTTTATTGTATTATATTTTCTTTACCCCTTTTCATGCTTTTCTTTCTTACYTATGAATTTTTTCAAAGACTTAAAATATGAGATCATTAGGATACTAGGATATAGGATAAAATCTTAAATACTTGCATGGCTACATTACACAAAATCTGATCCCCCAAGAGTCTATTTTTTTTCTAATAGAAAACAAAGGTCTTCTTTTCTTATTTTCTAACAGAAAGACCAAGACTTGACAAATATGACTTAGAAAAGAAAGACATAGCTGCCTGCCTTCAAGATGAGGTAGAGAGACTCTGTGTGCAGAAGAAGTGGAAGGAGAAGATTTTGCTCTGAGCAGTCACTTTATGTTGAGCGTCTTAGCTGTTGTGAAGCACCGGAGATGGCCAAGCCTGGGTATCTAACTTCAGGAACCAAAATCTAAGCTACATGCAGAGAAAACATCAACCATCTATTAGACTAATTATTAGACGTTGGAATCCGAAACTGTATTTAAATTACTTCTCCAGCAGAGGGGAATCTTAGCTTCTTGTTGCTATTACAATGTTTCTTTGTCAGAGAAATCCAGTGATATTTAAGGTGAAGGGAATAAGCAGGATTGCACATTATTTCTCTCTAACTGGTCAAGATCCCTTGAGTCTAACTTTAGAAATTAAATACCRAAGTCTGAGTGTGCCGCCGTAGTCTTCTTTACAGAGAAAATCAGTGTCCTACCATGGGATGAGGTGCRTTTTCCACTGAAGATGTCAGTGGCACTCCATTTACTATAAAGGGAGCCTGAGGTCTTGGACATTTCACTGTTTAACACTTACCTTAGGCCAGGTAAATTCCTGGTGACCATCACTGCCAGCGTAACAGCAGGTTTAGGACCATAAGCCAGCAGCTAGGTACATTTTTGCTCATTTCTGMCCTTCAGTTGCTGTGGTGCTGCTCATCAGGACACAGTAACTGAATATGAGTGTAACAGCCATAAAGCTCTCAAACAATTGAAGAAGCAAAGAATATTTCCTTTCCTCTTACATTTTCTAGCATACAGTGTATTTGACAAATATACTTAGTCCCCTAATTAAAAAAAATTTTATTTGCAAGCTGTTCCTGTGTAAACTTGTTATCTGGCCTAAAGCTGCTGGGGTGGATGAGTGAAGGATCTGTTGCTGCTGTCCCAGAGCGTTGTTTATCCCCAAACCTGCTGGCCTCTGGTGGCTCTGTTTCTCTTAGATATTAAGAAGGAGACAAGTTTTATAGAAATAACCACGCTAAAGGGCGAGACAGCTCTGCAGGGTTCTCATGGTAGGAAAAGTCTGTCCACTACCTGTGCCATGCTGTGTCAAGCTTTAATAGTTTCCTTGTGAAATCTGATGGAGAGAGGTCCAAGGCCTACTGCTCTTCAAGCTTCCTTGAAAGCCGCAGCTCTGGTATAATCACTTGACTGTGGGGAGAGGAGCTTTAAGATATTCCTTTTAGCAAAATCCACAAAATCTGGCAAAATGTGCTTCAATCTATTCGAGAATAATTGCATTGCCCAGTTGCTGCTCACCAAAAAATAGGCCTTAAGGTCAGGGAAAAAATTAAGTGGTAGATCCTAAAAAAGAGAAACCAAACAATAAGTACTTCAGAAAAGTAGCCCAGATCTCATAAATCTCAATTCCTTTATTGTTCTGACAGCATTTTTTATACTTTCTAGGACTCAAGGTTATAAATCACTATGATTTTTATGTACATTCCCAGATTGTCACTCTGTAAAAACAGCCTAGTCCTTTAGCTCTTCTTTAGCTTATACATGCCCATGCTGGCTAAATGTCTAGACAAGGAGCATCTCCAAAGATTGACCCTCCACAACCTCTCCTCCTGCCTGTATCTTCAGGAAAAACAGAGATGTTGTTTCACCTTTGCCTTGTTCCTCTGTGTGTAGAAACTTCTGGGCGTACAGTATCAGCAGTGCAAGGACACAGATTTTGTCTGATAACAAGAGGAAAGCAGATCCTGCTTATCTGATGCATGTCTGCCCACAGTCTACCTGAGATGGATTTCAGGCGGTATATGATTATGCCAAGCGACATGTTGTTATGATGAACTAGAAAACTGAAAAATGTTATGAAACGTTAACCAACTGAAAATTCCAAGTAGACACTGAATATAAGTTACCATATATTGGAACCAATACATTGGGAACGTGAGTTTTATCTTTAGAAACTTAATTAGTAAACACCTGATCTAGATTTTGTTGTGATAACAAATAKTGCTTTCATGGGAAACATTGCAAAGAACAATTATACTCAGAGCTCCCTTATATGAGCAAGTGTACATTTTTCCAACAATTTTTGCTAGCATAAACACCATACAGTAGCAGTCTTAGGRTCATGATTTGGCATGATCACCTAATGTGTTAGCATAAAATATAATAATGCATGCATTAAGGGAAAAGAAAACCTTTTTCTTTAATGGAAGAAGATGGAAAGAGCTGTAGAACTTAAGCAGTACAATTATTGTTTTAGATAACAATGTTGGGGGATGTTATGAAATATTTGAGGGAAAAATGTCATTCCTAATGGTCATATACTTGTAAATACAGAATTGTAGACCAAATAGACTTTTTTTTTTATCTACTGTAAGCAGAATAGCAAGACAACAGTATTTTACATAAAATGAACAATAAGCTTTCAGTAGATGACATTCACTTAGCTTGTCAAGCTCATCATTTTTTACAGTCATAGCTGGAATTGCATTTGCCAAACTGCTCACATGAAATAGGATTTTTTTTCTGGTAGATTCCTTACTTTTC